GAAACCACCTGTCTATCAGCCATACATGGTTAATCAAGTTGACTATTTTCAAGTTGATTTTTCCTGTATTTGGTTAGACTCAGTGTGAATCATGAGAGAATAGAACCTTCAACGAGAGTCTCAATCCAAGTAGCATTAAGATAGGTATCAAGTTGCTGAAGCCAATCTAGAGCCAATCTTTTACACAGAGGTAGTATTCACGGTAGGGCTTGGGACCCATGAAAGCCAGCACTCTACAACACTACAAGGTCTTAATCTCAATTTCACGGGCTCCTCAGATCACCCTCCCCCCCCCCCCCACCGCCCCACCCCGTTGTATTTCCCCTAAGTCTTGTCTTTAAATACAATGTGATCAGTGCTTGCTTAGAGGGCTTTGGATGTAGTAAGAAATTACTTATTTAAAACCTGCAGTAGAAATGAACCATAGCAGCAGAATTGGAAAAGCTACACATAAATAGCTAGAAATAATCTAGGTAAGAAACTGAATGAATTTCAATATTATTGATTCTACAGCTCTGATCTCTCCTTCCATTTACCCTCTCTAACCAATCCCTGCTGTGTTTTATTGTTGTTGTTGTTTTCAACCTTCCAGCTTTACTCAGTAAGGATGCCCGTTATCTGCCACTCATCCCAACTCTCCCTCTTCCTTGATTCCACTTGGCCCATTCCCTCTCCATCATCTCCTACCCATATGGCATATGTGTTCTTGTCTCCTCTTGATTCCCTCCTCAACTCCCTTTCCTGTCTTTTCAGAGGAACATAAGATCATCCAGGCGGAGTTCTATCTGCTTCCTGACCAAAGAGGAGAATTCATGTTTGACTTTGATGGTGATGAGATTTTTCACGTGGATATAGCAAAGAAAGAGACGGTTTGGAGGCTTAAAGAATTCGGACAGTTTGCCAGCTTTGAAGCTCAGGGTGCCTTGGACAACATAGCTGTGGACAAAGCCAATCTGGACATCATGATGAAGCGCTCCAACTACACTCCAGATGCCAATGGTACTGCCTCTCGACTGCACTCCCGGATGTGGGCATCCATAGCTTTAAAATAGATACTTCAGCAATGTCTGCCATATTATCATGACTCTCGCTCTGAGGCCTACCCATGCCTCAGAAAACCCTATATTCTCATGGGACAAGCCCAAGAATTTTCTAATAGTTATCCTTCCTTAATATCTCTGCCATACATGAGCACTCACTGCTCTGAGTCTATAGGGTATGTATGTGTGGTGGTGGTGGTGGTGGGGAGATGGATTAAAAATTAGGTTCTTGGATATTTTATATACTTCAAGCTTGGCTCTAGAAGATCAGAGATAGGCATTGGCGAATGGGGCATACACTTCTCAGGGCCTAATTCCAACTGCTGCTTCAGATATGTTTGTACCGCAAGTCAGTGTAGAAGGTCGAGACTGAGAAGCAAGCCTAAAGATAGGAAGCTAATGTCTGTCATGTGTCCTCCAGTGGCTCCAGAGGTGACCGTGCTGTCCAGCAGCCCTGCAGAAGCAGGGGAGCCCAACGTCCTCATCTGTTTCGTCGACAAGTTCTCTCCTCCAGTGGTCAACGTCACCTGGCTGAAAAACAGCAAACCAGTTACCATGGGGGTGTCAGAGACAGTCTTCTTCCCCAGGGACGACAACCTTTTCCGCAAATTCTACTACTTACCCTTCCTGCCCTCCACGGAAGATGTTTATGACTGCAAAGTGGAGCACTGGGGGCTGGATGAACCTCTTCTCAAGCACTGGGGTATGCAAACACCCTTCAATTCCCTGCCTATTCTAAGGTTTTCCTCCCTTGATGCTTGTGACTAGGCCCTCAGAATTTAGTGTTTCATAAGCTCTGCTGTAATTTCACACTCCTCCCCGCTTAGATCTACAATTGCCTCGACACCGAATTCTATTTTTCTCTTCTTTCATTTATTGATCACTAGTGTTCAAATGGGCCCTCCCTCCTTTTACTACTACCTATTCTTTTCTTTCCCTCCAGAGTTGGACCAGCCAGCTCCCCTCTCAGAAACCACAGAGAATGCCGTGTGCGCCCTGGGCCTGATTGTGGGTCTGGTGGGCATTGTTGTTGGAACCATTTTTATCATCAAGGGTGTACACAAAGGCAATAAACAACGCCGAGGACCTCTGTGAGACCTATGGAGGTGGGTTTGGTATGGCCAGAAGAAGACAGTATGGTGGTGTCTGAAGGAGGGAAACACATGTGACACTACACAGGGAAAGAAAAATTGGACTTCTTGATTTCTTTTTGCTAGAAGAAATCAGGCAATGGTATCATCTGGTTTCCCATAGCCTTGGGCTCTGTCATCACTTCCCATAGATGTAATTCCAAACCAACCTTCAGTCTCAAGACCAGTGGATGTTAGAATACTGCATCCTGATTATTTAGGCAGGGAACCTCAAGGTTTAGGCACTTATTGAATTGTGTTTTCTAAGGCAGCCCATCAACTTCAAAGCATTTCCAGAGCCTGACATCTTTAGAGTTAGGGTGAGTTCCTGGCATGAAATGGAAATCCCTTAACAGTCAAGGGCTATTTCTGATCTTAGAAGTTTTTTTTTGTTTTTGATAGGCTATATGTCTTGAACTCTGGGCCTGGGCACTGTCCCTTAGCTCTTCAGCTCAAGGCTAGCACTCTACCACTTGAGCTACAGCACCACTTCCAGTTTTCTGGTGGTTTATTGGAGATAAGAGTCTTTCGGACTTTCCTGCCTGAACTGGCTTTGAACCACAATTCTCAGATCTCAGCCTCCTGAGTATCGAGAATTACAGGCATGAGCCACCAGTGCCCGGCCTTAGAAGATCTTTTAAAAGAAAAGCTTAAGGCAGGCACTGGTGGCTTATGTCCACAACCCTAGCTATTTAGGAGGTTGAGATCTTGAAGATCAAGGTTTGAAGACAGCTGGGGCAGACAACTCTGAGAAACTTAAATCTTCAATTAACAAGTAAAAAATGCTGAAAGTGGAGATGTGGCTCATGTGATAAAACACCAGCCTTGGGGGTAAAAGCTAAGGAAGAGCATAAGATCCTGAGTTCAAACTAGTATTGGCACAAAAGAGAGAGAAGGAGAAAAGGAGGGAGAGGGAGGGAAGGAGGGAGAGAGAATAAGAGAGAGAGGGGGACAGGGAAAGAGAGAGAGATAAAGGTCATACAAACTTGAAAAGTAGGGTTTACAATTCACGTTGGTAATGTTACATTTGACATTTCCAAAGTCAAATGATTAGGAGGATTGGGGAATATCTGAAAGAAAGAGCTCAGAATATTCATCTTAAGCTTCTTAGTAACTAACTTTATGTGTCTCATTACAGGTAAAACCTATCTTAGAGGTTCAGTGAAGAAATTTCTGCTTTCAAAGCTTTCCAAAGCTGATAAATGTCCAGCTGTTCGCATCACTGAAAATAGGTACCTTCAGCATTTTCTAACCCCTAAACATCAAGAGTAGAGATGTCTTCCCCAGTCTCATCCTAGCCTGACAGAGAACTGGGTGCTTGTCCACCACGGCTTCCCTCGTCTGCTCTCCCTCCATTTCCTCTTTTATCATTGCCATGTCATTCCTCTCTGATCAATTCCATAATGTCTGTCTCCACTATGGAACATGTTGAGCATTACATGGAGAAAACTTGCATGCATTTCTTTGAATTATGATTTGTCTACCTGCAATAAACTTTTTTTGTGGTGTTTTTTTCATGTCTGATTCAGTTCTTAGTGGGATTGGGGTGGGGAAGGGTGGAAGGGTTCTGAAAAACATACATGGTCAGTTGGGTGCCAGCGGCTCATGCCTGTAATCCTAGCTGTTCAGGAGGCTGAGATCTGAGGATGGTGGTTTGAAGCCAGCCTAGCCAGAGAAGTCCTCATGAGACTCTTATCTCCAATTAGTCACTTAAAAACTGGAAATGGAGCTATGGCTCAAAGTGGTAGGTACTAGTCTGAGCAAAAGAGTTTAGGGGCAGTGCCCAGGCCTTGAGTTCAAGCCCTACAACCAACCAAAATATCCCATATATATAATATGTGTATATTATATATATATATATATATATTCCTTCCATCCTGAAATATCTGGCTGCTGAATGTATCTAAAAGATGTGAAATTAACCAGAAATACCCAGGTTTATTAGGGTTTGTTCTCATTTCAAGCATCTTGAGAATATTGAGGATGCAATTTAGGCACATTTGTATAACTTTTATTCTAAAATAAGCAAGGTATGCAATTGAGAACACAGTAAAATGTACAGAAGTATAGAAAAAAAAATCTGTCTAAATTTATGTTCTTCCATGTAAGAAAGGTTGTTTAATGGACTTTACTTTTCCCCCCTATTTACTTCTTAACTGTTTTTTTAAAGGTGATGTATAGAGGGGTTACAGTTACATACGTCAGGTGAGTACATTTCTTAGACTTTGCTTCTTAGAGCCATTTTAAGTTCACACAAAACTTGTGGAGAAAGTATAAGGAGCTGTGATTAGCCCCTTCTGTAACTGTACCCTCCCCTCAGGTTGCTCCTGTTATTTAAATCTTGTGTTAGTATTCTACATTTGTTACAACAGATTAACTAATAATGCTATTTATTATGAACCAAAATCCATAGTTCACTATGTATTATACAGTTCTGATAAGTATATGAAGTCATATAACTGTTATTATAGTGTCACACAGGTCATTTTATTGACCTGAAATATTGTTGTGTTGTGAAATAATCCTCCTTTCTCCCCTCCTATTTCTTGTCCTTAAAACTGTATAGATAATCCCAGCTTCTCAGGAGGCTGAGATCTGAGGATCATAGTTCAGAGTCAGCCTGGGCAGGAAAGTCTGTGAGATTCTTATTTCTCGATTAACCACCAAAAAGCTGGCAGTGGAGTTGTAGCACAAGTGGTAGAGAGCTAGCCTTGAGCAAAAAAGCTCAGCGACAGTGCCCAGGCCCTGAGTTCAAGCCCCAGGATCCCCTCCCCCCCCCAACACACACACACACATGAACACACAAAAAAACCCAACTGTGTGAAGCAGATAATTTTCCACTCTTTGTTTATTTGAGCAAAACATAATGGAGAAAAGTGGCAAAGGGCTTTTCAGATGCCTGAGAGGCAGGGAGGGATGAAGCAAAGCATCTGTGAGAGGATGGGGGGAAGGTACTGGGACATGGGGTTAGCCACGGGGGTGGACAAGCCCCTCAGCAGGCACATGACCTGTCAGGTCATGGAGCAGGAGAGAACCAGGTCCTAGACACATTCTCTGTTTGGATGAATGAGAGCCAGGCAAGACGCATTGTCCTCACTTGGAGCGGTGGGGACAGAGGTCCCTCCTTCGGTGCCGTCACCTCCACTTCAGCTCAGACGTTCTGCAGGAGACACAGGGCAGCGGTGTTTCAGGTCTAACCCTGCAAATGACTTCCTTTCCCATCTCAGGGCCCCCAGCATTGCAGAAAGAAGAGAAACACGTAGAAACTTCCCCCAAGGCCATGGCTCTTCAGAGCCCAGGCCTTTTATTAGTGGCGGGTAGAAGGTTTAGACAAATTGTCCCATCAGAAATTTGGATCCAAAATCCTCCCCATTATTATTATTATTATTTTTGTCATTGTTCCCATCTGATTCAAGGGAAGAAAATCTGTGTCTGAGAGGAGATGAAGGGATATTACCTATGGGCTGATGTCCAGAGCGTCCTGAGAAAGGAAAAGAGAGACAGGAGCTTACAAACATGGAGGTGAGCAGTCCCCAAATTCAAGTCCTCAAGCTCCCACCTGCCACCTGAGCCTCCCTTCGCATACAGTCCACCCAGGTGAGGCAGAAAGCAGAGCGCAGATAGAGACCAGCTGACCCAAGAAGCCAGTGATAAATGTCTCTTTCTTCCTTCATTTGTTGCCGGTTCTCAGGTTGATATTTCTAGGCTGCTTAACCTTTCAATATAGTTAACCAGAAATGATTTATAAATTTCTAGGACATTTGAGATCACTTAAAGAAAGGCTTCATACATGGCCATTGATAGATATCTTGAGAACTAATCTCATCAAAGACGTGTGTGTATGTGTGTGTGTGTATACACACACATACATATACACATGTTTCCTATATACATATACACATATATATACACATGCACACAAATATATATACACACATACAAACTTGAACCTTGAACTCAGGGTCTGGGCACTGTCCTCCCCCTTTTTTTTTTTCCTCAAGGCTGGTGTTCTACTACTTGCGCCACAACTCCATATCTGGCTTTTTTGGTGATTAATTGGAATTAAGAGTCTCATAGCTTTTCTTGCCTGAGCTGGCTTTGAACTGCGATCCTCTGCCTCCTGAGTAGCTAGGATTACAGGTGTGAGCCACTAGTACTCAGCAAAGACATTTTTCTTACCGTTGTGATTCCTGAGATGGATGAACAGCCCCACCCCAAGGAAGAGCAGACCCAGCACAAAGACTGCAACTCCGCTCAGCATCTTCCTCTGTGTAGATCCAGATCTGGCCCCTGGGAGAAGAAGCTAGGCTTAGTGATTTTTCACTCCAAATCCAACTTCCCCTTGTTAAGACCCTGGGAATCAGAGCTTAAGAACTACCAGAAGAAGCCTGCATTAGAAGAAGCCTGCCTGAGAAGACTTTTTTTTTAACATTTAATTTTATTTTATTGTAAAGGTGATGTACAGAGGGGTTACAGTTACATAAGTAAGGTCATGAGTACATTTCTCGTTGAACGTTGTTACCTCCTTCCTCATTTTTCTCCCACTTTCCTCCCCCCCCCCAGCTCCCCTTCCCACCAAGCTGTAAAGTTCATTTCCAACATAGTGTCTTGCGAATATCACTGTAGAAGAAACATTTTAAAATCACACTGAGTCGCTGTAAAATTCAAGCTGTGAACTTAACTATGGCTGTCTTGAAACACCACCAGAGAAACAAACAGTTTGAGACCCAGTGAGGCTGAAGAATTTATCATGGATGAAAAACAAAGCTGAGATTAGCTCTTTTGGATGTCAGGAGGAACCCTGCATCGCTCCTCTTCCCAAGTCATGATAAACACAGACAGGCAGTAATGAAAACTGTCAACCTAGGTGCATAGGAGGCTAAGGGCTAGGGATTACAGTTCAAAGCCAGCCTAGGCAGGAAAGTCCATGAGGCTCATATCTCTAATTAACCACACACACACACACACACACACACACACACACACACACACACACAAGCTAGAATGGAGCTGTGACTGTAGCACCCAGGTCCTGAGTATAAGCCTCATTAATGGCACCAAAAACAAACAAAAGTCCAATCTATCCCATTATTGGTAGGTCAGTTTCACACTGTGCCCAGTAAACCCTGTCAGTAGCTACACCTGTGGTATTTCATTGTTACTTGTAGAAACTGCGGTGCTAAGGGGGTTGTCTTGTTCTAGTTCCCTTCCAGAACTGTGACCAAAACCCTACAGGTTCCTTTTGTTCTTATTCTTGCCAGAAAACCCAAATCATGCCATCTGCTGCACGGGTGACCTTTATCTAACTGCATTGGCAGGCTTGGTCTACCAAAAAAAAAATCTTTGCTTTTTCAACTACTTCTTGCTTGTAAACATCTGACAGGTAGGAAGGTAACCAAGTCTTGCAACCAGTTGGCAAACAGATATTTCATGTCTCAGGGTTCCAGAGCCTCAATGGCCAAGATCACAGTGTTGACAGAACTAGTTCCATCTGAGAATGGTGAGGGAGCATCTTCTCTGGAAGGGACTCTCTCCTAGCTTCTAGTAGCCTGGGGTGCTCCTTGATTTATGGGTGACATTCTCCCTGGGTCTTTGTATTGTCTTTCCTCACTGTGTATTTCTCAGTGTCCAAATTTCTCTCTCTATAAAATCTCCAGTCATCTTAGATTAGGGCCCAGCATAAGGATCTTATCAACTTGATTATCTCTTGTGAATACACTATTTCCAAACCAGGTTGCATTCTGGGGTACTGAGAGTTAGGACAGCCAAATACAATTTTGGAGGCAGGCACTGTCACCCAGAAAACACCTAAGCCGTCTTTTTTTGTCAGTTGTGGGGCTTGAACTCAGGGCCTAGGAGCTGTCCCTGAGCTTGTTTACTCAAGGCTAGTGCTCTACCACTTGAGTCAAAGCTCTACTTCCAGGTTTCTGGTGGTTAATTGGAGATAAAAGCACAGGCTAGTTTTGGACTGCAATCCTCAAATCTTAGCCCCCTGAGTAGCTAGAATTACAGGTGTGAGCCACTGGCGCCCAGAGTTCTCTATCCCTTTAATCTCAGCCTTTCCCTCACTCCCCATTTCCCATGAATTCCAATTCTTTGTGTCCACTTCTACTTGCATCCTTTCTCACTTCCATTTCTTCTTGACACTCAAAGCAGCAAGCTAGGTTTTCAAGACTTGGTCTCAGTTTTCCACTTGTCAGCCAAGTTACAGGCTAAGTGAGCGATGTGTATCTCTTTCTAGTTATAACTGCTTTCTAGTTTTGTTATCTTTTCCCCAGGAGCCAGCGGGGCACTGATACTGATAGATCTAGAATTGCCCAGAGTACTATTTATTGGGAAACTAATAGGTAGAAGTGTGGTTCTGGGTGGCAGGCAGACAAAATAAACAGCCATGATTTGGGTCTGAAGAACAGATGTACATACTAGTCAGGATCAAAGTGACTTCATAAAATTGAAATTGACTTGGTGTATATTCATCAAATTTCAGAGTCAGGCACCTTCTTGGCTCCGGGGTTTGGTAGTAAAGTTCAACATGGTTTTTTCTACTCTTAACTATGTAGGAAAGCCCAGCTAGTGTTACGCTAGATCAATCATGGAGGTTATAATTAAAGATGTCCAGGGCCTTGAATCAGCACAGTGACAGGGCTCCTGCCAGCCGTCTGTGCCGAACAAAGCAGATGAGAACATGGGCAAATGAAAATGGGATGTATGGCGAGGACAGTCCTAACACTGATAGAATTTATAAGCTGGGAAACTTTGCACTCACTCCACTCCACAGTGACTGGACTGTCCAGCCTGGGGTGCTCCACGTGGCAGGTGTAAACGTCTCCCTGTTGGGGGATAATTTCCAGCATCACCAGTATCTGGAAGGTCCAGTCTCCATTCTGGATCAGGCCTGTGGACACCACCCCAGCCTGCTCCTCCTGGCCATTGCGGAACCATCTGACTTCAATGTTGCCTGGGTAGAATCCATGCACAGCGCACACCAGGAGGTTGTGGTGCTGCAGGGGTTCAGTCTTTGTGGGGTACACGGTCACCTTAGGCATAACTAGAAGAGAAAAGTGGAGAGAACTCAGAAGGTAGAACAGTCCACCCAGGTCCTTTGCTTTTCTAATCTCTGGCCTCCTCAAAGCTTGCTGCAACCTCGAATTGAGTCCTCATAGCAGGAGTTCATTCAATTTCACAAATACTAAGAAAAAACTGTAGGGTTTTTTTCCCCCCATAGCTTAAAGTAATTAATCCATTGCCAAAATTGTAAGAGGTTCAAACTTTTGCAAAGCACATAGTGTGGCTTCTGTACTTTATATACAACTTGTTAAAATTGTTTTCAGGAGAAGGAAAAGGACTGAGGGAGAGAGATAGAGAGGTGCATTTGATCAGGGTACATTGCGTGCATGCATGGAAGTATCATAATGAAATCCCTGTGTAACAATCAATACATGTTAATAAATGTTGTTTGAAAAGTGTAATTTCTGGGCAGGTTAGGTTTAGATCAAGGCTCTGCTTTTCTGGTTGATTCTGGAGGAATGTTCTATGTTGCCCTGTGCCACAGCTCTCCTAGTTGCATGGGAAGATACCGATACTGACTTCACATGAAGATTAACATATCCAAAATGTATAAAGCAGTGACTGGAATGTAGTCTTCAATATACAGTTGATATTTATGCCCCTTGTTTACTTTGAGAGAAAATATGACTCAAAGCAATGTGGATGGATCTTCAATGCTACCAAACAACCACACACCTTAAAATGCATCAGAACTGATTCTGTCCTGGGAGGCAGATGCATGTAGAGGTAAATTCATAGGAATCCTGAGGAGAAGGAAAGAGTTTTAGAGTTCTTAGGTCTACACTCAGCTGAGGAACCCATCTCCTTTCCTAAATGAGCATGCCTACTGTTATTATCTTCCGACTCTCTAAACTGACATTTATGGACAGGACTCATTGGACTTATGGACTTGGACTCATTGCTTACTTACAACATGTGCTTTGTTGCTAGGACAACCCTTCATATGACCATGCTCAATGAAAGCATTTATTTAAAGGAGGAATTTAGGGGGAAGTATTGCTTCACTACTGCAAATGACACATTTAAGAATTTTTGAAAGAGGTGACATTGATCAAAATGAGTTCTATTCATAAACTGACATGTGGAATTGAAACTCTTCCATACAAGATAATATGGAAAACTGAGACAGTGAAGGAAGGAGTAGCATTGTCCAAAAAGAAATGTACTCATTACTTGACTTATGTAACTATAACCCCTCTGTACATCACCTTTGTAGTAACATCAAAAAATAAAAATAAAAAAGTGCAGGGCTGGGAAGGTGGCTCAGTGGTAGAGCGCTTGCCTTGCATGCTCGAGGCCCTGGGTTCGATTCCTCAGCACCACATAAGCAAAAAGAAAAAAGCCGGAAGTGGCGCTGTGGCTCAAGTGGTAGAGCGCTAGCCTTGAGCTGAAGAGCTGAGGGACAGCGCCCAGGCCCAGAGTTCAGGCCCCACTACCGGACCCAAAAAAAAAAAAAAAGTGCAAAAAAGATAATATGGAAAAAAATGATTGGAAAAAACTAGAAACTTTGCAGAATTTTAAAGTAAATACTTTTTTAATTATCTAATTATTTAATTAGATAATTAATAATAAGATAATTAAATAATTAAATAAACCTGTTAAGATTCTTAAGATAGAAAGTAATAGAAATATAAATCATAATCTGAAGAAAATGCCAGAGCAAATAACAAAGTATTAATAATCTTACAGCATGAAACTCCATAAACTGAGAAAAAAACCTCAGGACCCTCAGCTAATAGACAATAATGATTCTTAGAGCAGTAATGATAATTGCCCAATAAAAGTCAACTATGTTCAGGAGACACAGAAATCAAAGACATAGAAATTGGCTGGGCAATTGGGTGGCTCACGCCTGTAATCCTAGCTACTCAGGAGGCTGAGAACTGAGGATCGTGGTTCAAAGCTAGCCTAGGCAGGAAAGTTTGTGAGACTCTTATCTCCACTTAACCACCAGAAAACTGGAAGTGGCGCTGTGGCTCAACAGGTAGAGTGCTAGCTTTGAGCTGAAGAGCTGAGGGACAGCGCCCAGGCCCAGAGTTCAAGACTTATAACCAGACCAAAAAAAAAAAAAAAAGACAGAAATTAAAATTAAAAAGAAGTTGTTAATTATGTGTCATTACGGAAAAGATTTTTTTAAATCAAACTAAAGGGCCTCGGTTGCAAATTACCTTAACTATACAAAGAAATATGTCACTAAATAGTATTAGCATTATCTAGAAACAGTATCTAGGTCTGCTAGGCCACGAAATTATAATTTAAAAAAGCTAGTTCTGCAATTTTCAATGCTGTAAATATACACAGACAAAGAAAGCAGGAAACATTCACCTAAAAGAAACCTTGGGGGAAACAAAGGAGGAGGCAACAATGCTTGATAAGATATGTACTCATTACCTTGCCCATAACTGTAACCCCTCTGTACGGTATTTTCACACACACACAAAATAAAAAGAAGAAAAGAAACCTTGGAAAGGTGGGAGGTACACACACACACACACACACACACACACTCACACTCACACTCACGCTCGCGCACGCGCAGCTTAGCTGCCCCCAGCCCCACACTCACCTCCTTGTAATGACAGGAGTATGTCAACTAATGGATAGTTATTTCTGCACCTGTCTACTGAAGCTCGGTAATTGTCCAGCACGTCCTTCTGGCTGTTGAGTTCCTCGGCGATGGGCCGCCCCAGCTCAGTCTGAGCGCGGAACTCCCCAACGTCGCTGTCAAAGCGCAGGAACTCCTTCTGGTTGTAGATGTATCTGGTCACGCTCCACACTCCCTCCGTCCCATTGGGGAAATAACACTCACCCTTCAACTGCTGCATGAAGCGTGCTGAGGGCGGAAACACGGTGTGAGCTGGGCTGGGGCTGGGGGGCAGCGGGGCGGGGGAGGGGGGGGAGTCGGGGAGGGGGGCTGGCACCTGTCATCCTAGCTAATCAGGAGGCTGAGATCTGAGGATCGCCAGCCTGGGCAGGCAAGTCCCTAAGACTCTTATCTCCAATTGAGTACCAAAAGTCCTGTGGTAGCCTGACTTCAACCTTTAGTACCACAAGGGAAAAAAAAAAAGTGCAAAAGTGGAAGAAAAGCTTGGTGCATGGATGGTAATAGTGGTGTTTGAGAGAGATTTTTGAGACATCCATGGGATAATGGAGCACCAGGAAATCTTTCTTGCTTGCTCCTCTCTCTTTTTTGTTTCTTTGTTTCTTTCTCACTCCCTCTTTCTCTCTTCCTTCCTTCCTTCTTTCTTTTTTCAGTCATGGGACTTGAATTCAGGGTCTGGGCACTGTCCCTGAGCTCTTTTTGCTTAAGGCTAGTGTTCTACCACTTTAAGCCACAGTGCCACTTCCAGTTTTCTGGTGGTTAATTGGAGATAAGAATCTCACAGACTTGGGCTGGGAAGGTGGCTCAGTGGTAGAGTGCTAGCCTTGCATGCATGAGGCCCTCGGTTCGATTCTTCGGCACCACATAAGCAAAAAGAAAAAAGCCGGAAGTGGCGCTGTGGCTCAAGTGGTAGAGCGCTCGCCTTGAGCTGAAGAGCTGAGGGACAGCGCCCAGGCCCAGAGTTCAGGCCCCACGACCGGACCCCCTCCCCCCCCCAAAAAAAAAAAAAAGAATCTCACAGACTTTCCTCACTGGGCTGCTTCAAACTGTGGTCCTCAGATCTCAGCCTCCTGAGTAGCTAGGACTACAGAGATGAGTCACTGGTGCCTGGTCATTAGCAGGCAATGTTTCTACTGCTTTATATATGCCATACCTTTCAATCCTCAAAACAGTATTAGAATAATATAGTATTAGAATATACATAATTAATATATTAATATTTAATATTAATATTAAATATATATTAATATATATTAAACAAAGTATTAGAATATGATGCAAGGGCTGGACGCCAGTGGCTCACGCCTGTAATCCTAGCTACTCAGGAGGCTGAGATTGTAGGATCACAGTTCAAAGCCAGCCTGGGCAGGAAAGTCCATGAGACTCTGATCTCCAATAAACCACCAGAAAACCAGAAGTGGTGCTATAGTTCAAGTGGTAGAGCATTCGCCTTGAGCTGAAGAGCTCAGGGACAGTGCCCAGGTCCACAGTTCAAGCCCCAAGACCGACGAAAAAAAAAAAAGAAAAAGAAAAAGGTGCAAGGGTGACATTGATCAAGATACACTGTGCTCACAAACTAACAAGTTAAATTGAAATGTCCTTGCACAATTACTGAAGGATAACTAAAAAATAAAAAAGTAAAAGAGGGCAATATCGCCCCCTTTATTTTATAACTGCTTTGATGATCAAATAAAGCAGAAGCAAGTATTCAATAGAAATGAAGATATCTAGCTTTGGTGTCCTAGTGTGTAATTACTACATACACTTCATGGAAGACTCTTTCTGGATAGATAACAACCAAGAGGACCAACTATGGGTGCCTGGCTGTGATTCTGTCTGGAAATCAGCTAGCAAGGGATGGAAACCTTAAGCAGCACAGAGAGCAAAAACAAACAAACACCCTTCCTCCCCTCCCCCCAAACCCCAAAACCAACCTAGAGGAAAGAACAAAGCCAATTGCAGCTTCAATCCCAGCTCCCTGGTGGGGGGATGGGGACCTACAGAAGTGGGAAAGTACCAGCAAGCCCAGCCAAGACAGCTGACTGGCAGTTCTAACTGTCCTTGTTACTAACAGTCATTCCTGCAGGCTTTAAGCAATTTGGGCAGCTGACCGGTTTCACAGTGACAGCTCTGCTCCAAAGAAGGAACTTGCTTTGGATCTTACCAGTGCCAAGACCCCAAATGACTACAGTAGCTGTTGCTAGAAGACATGTTGCTTAGGAGATGCCTCTTATGCTGGCTGCCACCAGAGGCTCTGGGTTGGCATGCACCTCACTGGGTGGAAGACAGTTCCTTTAGCATCCTGCATCTTCAGAACTACTAGCTGCTATAGCCACAAGCCAAGTCCTATCCTGACTGCCCCTTGGGAACTAGGAAAATTCTTCCCTTCGGCCCACAGCCTTGGTTGGGACTGCAGCTACTGATATGAAGAACTCATTTTATTTGAAGCCCAAATCTTAATTTTTTCAAAAAGCTACGTCCCCAAGAAGGAAGGCTATCGTGGTTTAAACTCAGAATGGAGTTGGGTAGCCATTTGCTGATTGAGGAGCTGCAAAGTACTCTTGTGCTCCTGGGGAAACCATAAACAGATCCATGTCTTTGTTTTAGCTGCTAAGATGAACAGCCTCCCAATACTCTTGTTTTGCAATCTGGACCTGATCAATAAGAAAGCTGTATGTAAAATCAACCAATCAGGAATGGGCAAAATTGCATCTTTTATTTGCATAAAGCAGAACAGAATGAGAATTAAATAGGACACTTGTCTGGGTAAGCTTGCCCTTGTCTTTGTTCCTTTTCTAGTGCACTTTCAAGGGTTGTAACTCCTGGATTTGCAAATAGGTTTTGTTTTGTTTTGTGATCGGTCATAGGGCTTGAACTCTGGGCCTGGGTGCTGTCCCTCAGCTCTTCAGCTCAGGGCTAGCACTCTACCATTTGAACCACAGCACCACTTCCGGCATTTTTCTGTTTATGTGGTACTGAGGAATCGAACCCAGGGCCTCATGCATGTGAGGCAAGCACTCTACCACTGAGCTACCTTCCCAGCCCCAGTTTTTTTTTTTTTAAATCAAGCCTGTCTATTCTTCTTGAACTCAATAAATATGCATTGGCAGAGGCTATTAAAGTGTTCTGATAAGACTTCATAGAAATATGGGCAATCAAGGTCATTCTGGTAAGGTCTCAGAGAAGAATGAAAAATAAGCTATTGGAAATGAGTACAGTCCAACAATATTGCACAGCTGTAAACAGCTTGATGACATAGTATTCCCACCCTATGACCTTGTGGGAGATAGAACTTCAGTGATCCAGGACTTCTTAGTGTCTAAGAAAGAAAGAAAAGAGAATGGCAAATACCCAGGCTCCAACATCACTGATCCCTCTGTGAAAACATGGCACAGAATCTCTTAGAGAGAACCTCCAACTCTTCCACGCCTCATAAAATTTTCAGAGAAACTTTTCCTTTCTCCCAGGATAACTCAACATTATCAAGAGAAGTGTTGGGCAGGAAATTATTTTAAATTTAACTTCTAAGTTCTAAGGCTTCCCAAATCCCTAAGAAGACATAATCAAAGACTGGAGATGCTTCTTTTGGGAGTGAGGGTAGAGAGGATGTGAAGAAATGGCCTATATGTTGGTCCCATACATAGATTTCAGAGAGGGAAAACAGCCAGGCTCCTTTTTTTCCCTTGTGTAGAAATAATTTGACATTCACATGATAAACACAAGTAGCCACAGGGGGAAAAATTCTTTAAAAATATAAAAGGCCCAAAGAAAATGAGGAAGTTATCCCCCTTTCATCCCCCACCCATAGTAGCTCAGCACCTGAGGTGTGCACTTACGTCGGGTGTCCCTGAACAAAGCCACAGGAGGGCTCAACACCATCAGCATCAGGGTTAGAGTTGCCTTGAAGGGACTGCTGGGGAGCCATAGGCACACCATGCTGGAGAAGAGGAGAGGAGGGGTGTCAGAGCTGTAGACCAGCCTCACTGAGTGAGCACTGGGACCTGACTCCACCCACATCCTAAATAGTAAGAACTAAGATGCTCATTTCTTTAGTGCTAGGTGAAGAACCAATCAGCCTCAACGATGAATAGCATCATCTGTTGATGGTTAGAGATATAGTATGAAGGTCTTCTGAAAGTTCCAATTTCCTTCATTAAAAGGATTGATTTAGATGATTTTTTTTAAAGTTTTGATCTAATTGCAATCTGAAACACCTCTGTGATGAGCCATCTCTGTTGATTCCAAGCCAGCCTTTGACACCATAATTTTGCTTTAGGATAGTTATACAGTATGTGGAAACGAGTTCAGTCCTTCAGTCCTGCTTCCCATGATGACATCCTCATTTTATTGCAGATATGTTTCTTTCTATTATTCCTCCTCAGCTACTTTATCCTAAAAATTGCTAATTAATACACTCTCAATCATTCAGGCAAGTCAATGCAATGAATGATGATGATGATGATGATGATGATGTTACACCATATAATGAAATTGTATAATTTGTGAAATAAGATTCTACCATTGATGATCACACATTATATTGATAGAAATGCAATGACACAGATTCAGAATGTACTCCAAAGGGCAACTATACACATGAAATTCAACATCAACTCACACTTTGTCACAGTTCTGACAAGCAGTTGTTCTTTGTTTCGCTATTTGTGCTAGCAGAATTCAACATGCTGCAATTAAAGTCTCTGTTGAGATTTGCATATTTCACACTGTACCCAGAATTGTCCTAAGAGCTTTATATACATCCTACTTGGATTAATTCTATAATCTCTCCAAATGAAGAGTCTGAAATTATACTAAACAATTCTTGCAAGGTTGTCAGGCTAGAATATTCTACATTGGGGATTCAGTTGGGTTCTATGTGATTGCAAATAGTACAAGTTGAGTTAGTTCATCACAGTACTTCACTTGGAAAGGTCACCAGTCTGCTGAATTGAACAACCCTGAAGATTCTCCATCTTGGAGAAAGTTTCTATGCATGAAAATGTGTCAAAGAAAAGTCATGTCAATTACATGGGATTACCTGCTATTCTCAGCAGATTCTTCATTGAAATATTTTGGCCATATATATTTTTTTCATTCTACCTTATACCACTGGTTTCAGATAAGCTAAGGTAAATTATTTCTTCATTTAAGGAAGAAAGTCAAAGTACATTTATAACCCTAGGTCAAGCAGAAAAGACATCAATACCACCTTCTTAAATTCTAATAGGAAGATTTTCTTTGAATTATGTGTAACTTTAAAAATGACAAGTTTAAATTCTCAATTTCCTTAAAAAATAAAAGCTGCTGCTGGGGCATGGCTCAAGTGGCAGAGCCCCTGCTTTGCAAGTGTGAGGCCTATAGTTGAAACCCCAGTACCCCAAAATAATAATGAAAACAACAATAACAATAATAACATAAAATGTCTGTGGCAATAGAGACATTAAATTCAAATGTTTAGACTCTGAAATAACTTTGTAATCGATTATTTGATTTTGATTTGACTTACATTTGATACTGACACTCCAGATGGAATACAACAGGATATTCTAACTTTTTTTTTTTTTTTTTTGGTCGGTCATGGCCCTTGAACTCTGGGCTTGGGCGCTGTCCCTGTGCTCTTCAGCTCAAGGCGAGCGCTTTACCGCTTGAGCCACAGCACCACTTCCATATTCTAACTTCTTGACAGTGTATATAATACCCCTTTCTCTGAAACCCACTTTAAAAATAGTATGTTAATGAAGTCTATGGAGTCTTAAGATCCAGACACTGATTTGAAATTAGAGTTAACACTATTTTAGGTAAGGATCAAAAGAACTTTTAATTAATTTGTCTAGCTTTTTAATTTCTTTTCTTTTCTTTTTTTTTTAGATCCAAGAACAGGGCTGGTACTCAGTACTTGATGTTTTCACTCACTGGCTGTCACTCTACCAACCGAGCCATGCCTCTAACCCCCCTTTTTAGCTTTCTTTTAGTCATTTACTTTTGGTCAAATTTGTTTCAATTGTTTAAAATCTGTTTGGGGCATTTTTGTGCTAATTTTGACCAAATTCTTAAAAAATATTTTCATTTACAAGTAAAATATTTGCATGTAAAAATTATATATGAACTAAAACCATTTGATATGTGTACTATGTCACATACTTGTTACGTAGATAAAACCCATGACCCTACTAGATAGTTTACTTCCTTCATGCCACCTTCCCTAAACCTTCACCCCAACCACAGAGCTCTAAATTTCCCTTCCCCACAAGTCTCAGGACTCACGTCAAACAAGGTTTCCTCCTTTGCTGGCCCTTCCCACAGCCTCATTCTTATATTCCCCTCTCCTGTTCCACCCAGTCTTGTTCTGGATTATTCCAGTCTCTATATCTATTTCTTTCTTCCTCTTTCACCTTTGTTTTCAAAACCCTTCTCTATATTTCCATCAGTGATGTCTCAAAACATGTATAGATACCACAGTTCCATTTCTGACCCTCTTAAGACTCAAAATACTTTGAAAATTAGGATTTTTTGAGTTTTAAAAAACCATGAGTCTACTTTTTCCAAGTAAATCTGGGGAAAGTAAAGTTCGTAGATGAGATCCTATTTGTCACATATGGCAAATTGAGGAAAACAGGACAAATTAAGGAAACCATGAAATTCGCCAGCAATCTACAGAACAGTGAGTTCTTCTGGCCTGCTTATTGATTTTCAACATGACAAAAGTTAACAGCCTCCATACCTCTCTGGAACTTTGTTTAGACATATACTTTGAATCATAAGACCCTGCTAATATTTTACTACTTTTAAGATGACCAAAATAGAGTTCCATAAAATTTACTCTCCACAATTTGAATTCCTTTCTTTTGGCTGGCAGTCAGATAATGAACAAGAAAGTGTTCACATAAAAAGAATCAAAATAGATTTAAAATATGCAATATAATGTCCTAGGTTTTTATAATACACCTTAAATACTTCAAGGCACCCAAGAACAATTCATAGATTCTCTTTATTGATAAGAGCATTCTAAGTATTAAGGGTTTCTACCTCAGTCATAGGATGCTTTCAAGAGAAGCAAGTAGGAGCTAACCCCACCTTCCATCAGAACACCTGACCCAGAGGGACACAGACGTCATAGACATTGGAGTTGGGGTGGGGGGGAAGAGAAGCTGATAGAAGACTTCTCCTAGCACAATCTGACATGTGAAGGAGACAGCAACATCACTGATTCTGTGGAGGATGGAACACAGGATCTGTAGGAGAGACCCTACTAATTCTCTTTGAAAACTTGTTCTGACATAAGATGGCATTAACCAGGGAAGGGCAGTATGGGGAAGTATTTTAACAACAACGCTTCTAAGTCTTGTCAGGCCCTTCAGGGAAAGGAATTTAATGTTGGAGAGGTTTCACTGCAGGAGAGTTGGGAACAAATGGTCTCCATAGAGGCACCATAAGTAGAGCTCACAGACAGAGCATACATGGAGGTGTGGGGGATTCTTCTGTGGAAATTATTTGGGATGCATATGATAAACATAGGTAGCCACTTAAAAAGAAAAAGACCACAATTTTTAAAGGACGCTGCCTGGAAACCATGACCCAGTTAACACCCTTCTTTCCACAATCCCTACTTGTTTAGCCCATAATGTGTGCACTAAGATTGAGTGTTCCTAGCCCAAGCCAGGGGAGGACTCAATATCATTATTATCATGGTTAGTTAGAGCTGCCATGCGAGATCCTCCAGGGAGCCACAGGCACATCATGCTGGAAATTAGGAGAAGATGAGAGCCAGTGGAATAGATTATCTTTATCCAGTGAGAGCTATGACTCTTCTGCATCCACCTCCCAAGTAAGGAATATTCATTGGTTTGGTGCTGGATTGGGTGATTTCAATATAGAAAAACCAGTCTTCATATTAGCATCATCAGTTGCTGGGCAGAGATTTACTAGGAAGGTCTTCTTCTGAAACTCAGAACTTCCATCTTTCAAAGGGGTATTTCCATTTTGTATGTGAAAAGTCTGATCCAGTTATATCTGAACAACTTTAATTAAGCCACTATGGCAAGTCATCTCTGTGCTAGCAGGTAAGGCATCCGTCTGTTCAATTCATGTGATACTTGAGGACAGAGTGAGTTGTACAACTGCTTGTATGGATGTGCTTAGGGATAAAAGGGAATGGAGAGTAAATGACTCTACATCAGGACAAGTTTAATCTTGCATTGACTGTGCCTTGACTAGGTATTGTAGATTGGGGATATCATTAACTTCTCACAGTTGAAATGAAGGCACTGCAATCTTCCAAGCACTTCAGTTTTGCTGTGGTTTTGGAGATTCTCCCCTCCCCCCTCCAAGAAGCAGGGTTCCAGTGCAACTGATGATACAGCAGAATTATAACTGCTGATTGAAGAATAAAGTCTATACTTATTTTTTTCTGTGTGTGTTTATGTGTTCATTTATGTGTGCTGGTCCTGAAACTTGAACTCAAGTCCTGGGTGCTATTCTTGGGCTCTTACTGCTCTACCACTTGAGCCACAGTGCCACTTTTTCTGAGTAGTTTATGGAAGGTAACAGTCTCACTGACTTTTCTGCCCAACCTGGCTTCGAACCACAGTACTCAGATCTCAGCTTTCTGAGTGGCTAGGATTACAGGCATGAACCACCAGTGCCTGTCTATTTTCTTTAGTTTTGTGTTTGTTTTTTTTTAATTTTTATATTATCTTTAAATAGTTGTACAAAAGAGTTTAAATTTAGCATGTCACTTTGTTAGTACACTGCATTTGATCAATGTCTCCCCCATCTCTCCCACTCCCACTATCCTTTCAATTTACCTGGTTCTATTTTCACATGTGTATATTGAATATTATGAGTGCATTCACCCACACTTCCTCTCCTTCATATTTAGGGACATGGCTGATAAACTATTCAAAGGTAGTTAGTTAAATGAATGACAATATTTCTAGTGTATCTGCTGTCACTGATTTCAGTGGCCTCTGAATACACATAGGCACTAGGCTGAAAGGAGGCCATTCACAGGGAATAAAGGTCTTAAGAGAATCTTTGCACTTAGCAATAGGGAAAGAACACCCTCTAAAGCAAACTACACAGAAGCTCAGGGATCAATGCAGTACTCAGAATCAGCCTTAGACACATCTCTGTTCTAAAATAATTGTAAAAAGTTTTTGATCCCTCAATCCTGCTTTCAAACATGATTCTCTCATTTCATTGAGGATATATCCACTCATTGTTTCATTTTACCTGCTTTACCTAGGGAATGACACAAGGAAGCCCTGCCAATCAGCCAGTATGTGCTTGATTCAATAGTTTCTACCAGAGTGCCACCAATAAAATCAGCATCAGAGACACCAGATGAAGACAGAATAGGAAACCTTGGACTTAAAATGTCTCTATGGTTTTTTTTACTATATTAATTTAATAGAATGCACATACTGGTAATGAACATTAACTATCCAAAGTGGAAATAAAATTTAGAACAAATGTGTTATGTGTCATGTTGATTATTTTTCAAAGAAGGGCAATAAAATTGCATTTTAAAAAATCTACATGTTTTCTTTCAGGCTTGAAAGAAAACTAATCAGCCTATAAAGATCCATAGTTTATGAAGTAGTAGACAGATAGATAATGTCACAAACTGGGAATTATGAAATATGTTAATTCAGAATCTGCTAGTGGCTCAGAATAACTTTGAATGATGTATCTGAATTTCTTTCCTCTCACAATACCAGAAAAATGACTATAACAACCATATTTTTATTTATTTTGGGATAAACAATGAAATGTATGAAAATCTGTCTGAAGCATGATTTTTCACTCCATGTTTATTTAAGGAAAATATAAAACAAAGTCTTGTGACACAAGGCCAGGTTGGATGGGGATGGGGAGGGTGGCAGAAGGTTTGAATGCAAAAGAGCCAGGAGAGAGCGCAGAGCAGATCTTGCAGTCTGCACTGGGCTTCCAGCTCAGGGACAGGGGCTGGGGGAGCCATCAGGGAGGACAGGATCTGCTGGGCACTGAGCAGGGATGAAGCCAGGTCCTGAGAAAGCGTTACTTCTCTCTGAAGAATTAGAGCCAAGCTGGAGTGATTTCATGAGGAGAGGTAGGGGTAGAGGTCCTGCCTTCCCAGCTGTCCACCTTCACTTCAGCTCAGGAGTCCTGCAGGAGGCAGAGGACAGTATGTGTCAGGACCTAACCCAGGAAATGGCTTCTTTTCCCTTGATAGAACATAACATTACAGCATGTGGAAGGAGGTGAGAGGGCTTTCAACGGGCCCTCAGCAATGCTACTTTACAGCACAATTGGGTTTGGGTTTCTGTTTTGTGCCACTACTGAGGCTTGAACTCAGGGCCTGCACATTGTCATAGCTTTTCTCCCTCAAATCTGGCACTCTATTACCTGAGCTACAGCTCCACTTCTGGCATCTTGGTGGTTAACTGGACTTAAGAATCTCATAGACTTTGCTGCTCTGACCAGGTTTGAATCAGATCCTCAGTTCTCAGCCTCCTCTGGAGCTAGGATTACAGGTATGAGGCACTATGGCTTGCTATAGCACAATTTTTTTATTAAATGCAGAGTGGGCCTGGGGCATAGCTCAGTGATACTGCACCAGCCTAACATTCATAAGCACCTGAGTTTGAATGTCAGAACCACAAGAGCACAAAGAAAACAAATAAATAAACAAAAAAGTGTAAAGAACATGGTTTAGTTTACATTCCTGATTAATTAAAAATTTGATTCCAATTCTTTTTTTTTTTTGGTCTAGTCGTGGGGCCTGAACTCTGGGCTCAAGGCTAGCACTCTACTTTTGATAAATAGAAAAAGGACCAGACTCAGGAAGCAACTAAAAAGGCAGTTACCCTTCTATCTACTCAAATGCTATGTTACAAGAACTAGGAGACCGCATAGGGGCTATCTAAATCTGCTCTCTTTGTTAAAATGGAAAGATAGAAAAATCAAGCAACTCTGTAAATGGGTAGAGACAGAAGATGACAAGCTTGTCTGGAGAGTGGATGTCCTAAAACTCAATTGTTCCTGTGTTTCAGGTAGAACCAGAGACAGCGCCATAGTTTAGAATACTAAGCAGCACCTCTCTTAGCCACTGAGAATCATTGCCTGGGTTGGAGGCTGCCAGCTGACATAAGCACATGTATTCTCTCAGCTCAGAAAGAATACAGACACAGATGACAGCTGTAAACTTTTAAGTGCCTCCTCCTGCATTTGGGGTAGGAAATGTTTTCCCTCTAACCTTCTTCTTCTGAAAGAAATCATTGGTAAAACTTTCATCTTATGAGTCTCTCTCCTTTTCAGCAGACACCATGCCATGCTTTTCAAGAAGCTTAGGGACACCCTCATGCATTCTCTGGTGAGAGTTTTAATATTTCTTTGACATTTGCAATTGCATGAGAAAAGAAAACTTCACACAGGCCCATGGACCTCCCTAGAACTAACCTGAGTGTAGCCACATTTCTTATCCTAAAAAACAAAATCTGTCAACCATGATTTTCAGCCACCAGAAAGTTCCTTACCTTATGAATTCCTGAAGTAGACGAACAGCCCTGCACCCAGGAAGAGCAGCCCCAGCACAAAGCCCCCAACTCCACTCATCATCTTGCCCTGCGCAGATCCAGATTGGGGCTCTGAAAGGAGACGCCAGGATTAGTTACGTGTGTACAAAATCAGAAATTCTCTCACGAGACCCTGAGACTCAGACTCTTGAGATGGGAGGACAAAGCCTGCCCAGATGAATGAGATTTGGCTGTTCCTGGAAATAAGAGAATTAAAAATCATCTTGAGCTCAGTACCAGTGACTCATGTCTATAATCCTAGATAGTCAGAGGCTGAGATCTGAGGATTGTGGTTGGAAGCCAGCCTAGGCAAAGAAGTCTATGAGGACCATGTCTCCTGTTGACCATGCTAAACCCAAAAGTGGGGCTGTGGGTCAAGTGGGACATTGCTAGCCTTGAGAAAGGAGCGAAAGGACAGCAACCAAGCCGTAAGCTCACACCTTAGTACTAGCACGCACCTGCACCTAACCCATCACCCTGCATAACTGAAAGGTTCATACACTGAACTGATGTAATTGTCACAGGGCTGAAGTGCCACCAGGTCTCTGAAAACTGTGGAGCTCAGTCATGTTACAGAGCTGGTAAAGTGTGGGCTGGGAAGGTGGCTCAGTGGTAGAGTGCTTGCCTTGCATGCCTGAGGAGGCCCTGGGTTCGATTCTTCAGTACCACATAAGCAAAAAAAGAAAAAAGCTAGAAGTGGCACTGTAGCTCAAGTGGTAGAGGGCTAGCTAGCCTTGAGCTGAAGAGTTGAGGGACAGCGCCCAGGCCCAGAGTTCAGGCCCCATGACTGGACCAAAAAAAAAAAAAAAAAAGAGCTGGTAAAGCATGACAGAGCTAATGGCAGACAGAGCTGAGATTGGACAGCCCTCATATATTGCTACTCTTCTCAGATCACAGTGAACAACCCAGACAGTAGCACCCACACATAAGCGCAGCCCTGAGGCTGAGGCTGGGCCAGGACTGAGGAGGTAAGTAGGACCTGTGGTGTCACAGGGCTTTCAGAACAGTGTCTTGATTGACACACTCATGTCCCCATGGCTCATGGGTGTTTCTAGAAACATCTCAGCCCCATGCCCCCAGTGACCTATGCTGAAGGAGAGAGCATGGAATGGGTGAGAATCCAGTGTGGGGAGAGAATCCTGAAGCTGTGCTGTAGGGAGAGGAGCCCTGCACTCCGCAGGCAGCCAGGTCTGCATCTGGGCCTGAGGACTTTATACAGTCACCAACATGCTCACTCACTCCACTGCACGGTGACAGGACCGTCCAGGCTGGGGTGCTCCACGTGGCAGGTGTAGACGTCCCCCTGTTGGGGGGTCATCTCCAGCATCACCATGATCTGGAAGGTCCAGTCTCCATTGTAGACCAGGCCTGTGGACACCACCCCAGCCTCCTCCTTGTGGCCATTGCGCAGCCATCTGACTTCAATGTTGCCTGGGTAGAATCCATGCACAGCGCACACCAGGAGGTTGTGGTGCTGCAGGGGTTCAGTCTTTGTGGGGTACACGGTCACCACAGGCTTAACTAGGGAAGAAAAGGCAGGAGAAGTCAGAAAGCAACAGAATCCTCCTTGGTTTACTGTCTTTCTGCCTCTGTCCAATTCCAGGTTGAAGTCTCTGCTGGTGATACAAGTTAGAAGAAAAGGGGGAAGTGGGCGGGGGGCGGCGCCAGGGTTGCTTGGAGCCAGCTCATCGGCTCCCCGAAGAGAGAGCGTGGAAGGCTGGGCACCTGCAGCCACCTTTTCGCCTTCCCGGAGAAATGTCCTTTGCTTCCCAGATGTAATGCACCTTAAGTTAATTCAAGAGTGAAAATGAGTCATACAGAGGTTAAATTGAAAATACCTTTTGGAAATAAATTACTGGATGCTGTCTGCTTGGTACCTAACAAAAGCTTAGCATATGGGATAATTCTTACACATGGGGCATTGGGAGATATGAATCTTCCCCATTTGATGTCACTAGCATCTCATCTTGCAACTCATGGATTTTTTTTTCCCTGAGATTTACCTGTAAAGGCCTTAATATTGTACATAGAATTAAAGCATATAAAGCAGTTTTGAATTACCTAAAGAGCTCAGGAGAATACAAACTTGCAGGTGTATTCTTGGGAGGTCGTTCAATGGGCTCAGGAGCAGCTGCCTCTGTAATGTGTCATATTGAGCGAGAAGATGGTAATGATTTTGTTAGAGGTCTCATTTGTATTTCCTACCCACTACACCATCCCAAGCAGCAGCAAAAACTCAGAGATGAAGATCTCTTTCGTTTAAAAGATCCCGTACTCTTTGTGTCAGGCTCCGCAGATGAAATGTGTGAAAAGAATCTGTTGGAGAAAGTGGCACAGAAAATGAAAGCTCCCAACAAAATCCACTGGATTGAGAAGGCGAATCATTCCATGGCGGTGAAGGGACGGTCAACAAATGATGTTTTCAAAGAAATAAATACACAGATTTTGTTTTGGATCCAAGAAATCACTGGAATGGACAAGAAATGATTGTCCTCAGCTGAAAGCTATGAAAGTACAAAGTTGAGTAGAGATATTGTTCTTTATCAGAGACCAGTATACCTCTCAGCATTATGGTGAGACATATTTCAGACTATTGTTGTTTAATGTTGCCCTATTTTTGAAACACATTTTAATTGTGAAATATCCTTTACAAAATGTCTTTTGAAAGCACTGTTATAGTTGTATGAAGATGATGTACAATATTGAAGGTGGTCTAAATATAATTTTATTTTCTTTAGTACAGTTAAGTTTTGGAAAAAAAATTAAACATTTGAATTTTGTTAAAAAAAAAAAAAGTTAGAAGAAAAGTAGCCAATCTGGGACAAGCAGGCTACAGGACTTGTTGATGGTAGGATGAATGTATAAAACTTGCCTGACTATGAAATGGGGGTAGGAGGCTACAAAAGAATGACCAAGTAAGAAAACAAAAGAATGAAGAGGAAGTGGCGCTGTGGCTCAAGTGGTAGAGTGCTAGCCTTGAGCTGAAGAGATCAAGGATAGTGCCCAGGCCCAGAGTTCAAACCCCAGGACTGACCAAAACCACACACACACACACACACACATACACACACACACACGAATGAAGAAATAAATATGGAGCTCTGACTTTCAGGAACAAAAAAGGAGAGCTGCTAATTAGAAGTCTGTCTTCAAGGACTCCAATCTTCTGGATTTAACCCAAGGCCAAGGTTTGGGTGGAGAAAGATAGTTGGGATGGGCTGATGAGCTGTCTTCCTAAGCATGTCTATGACACATGCTCTCTTTTCTGCCATATTTCTGAATGAGTATACTTTCCTATCACTTTTACTATGTTCACTGTCTTCTCTGGCTAGACGTAAGGACTGAGGTCACCTTACCTGCCCTAAATTTCAGGTGACATATTTGGTACATTGATGAAGAAGTTAGGGATTAAATATGTCTTTCTCTGGCTTGGAGTCACTGAAAGGTTTCTCTTTAAAATAAAGAATCAGCTAAGCAGGGTGCAGTTGGCTGCTGCCTGTAATCTTAGCTACTCAAGAGGCTAAGATCTGAAGATAACCATTAAAAACCAGCCTGGGCACAAAAGTTCATAGTTCAAAGTTCAAAGTTCTTAGCTCCAATATACTGTTCAGAAAAAATCCAGAATTGGGGCTGTGGCTCAAGTGATAGAGTGCAAGCCTAGAACACAAAGAGGCTCAGGGACAGCTCTCAGGACTTGAGTTTAAGACCTAGAACTGGAAAAAAGAAAGTGAATAGACCCCATTTCTAATCAGTGCCAGGTTGTGCCACTCACCTACGACCTAGCGACTCAGAGGACTGGGTACAATGACGTGAGCCCTTCAATACCAGCGAAGCAAGGAGACACGTGTAGAAGGGAGACAGATGAGACAGATGCAGATGGGGAAATTATATCTTTTAAAACAAATATCAATGGGGCTATGAAGGTGGCTCAAGTGGTAGAGCGCTAGCCTTGAGCTGAAGAGCTGAGGGACAGCGCCCAGGCCCAGAGTTTAAGCCCCACGACCAGACCCCCACCCCCAAAAATAAATAAAACAAATATCAAGAGTGAGACTAAGAAGTTAAAACCAGGCAAGGAAAAAGCAGTTAAACTTCCCTACCATTCTATTCTGTCTCCTTTTAGATGCTGAGTTTAAGGATCAGAGAGACTTGAAACAGGCTACCATCTTGAATCTTGAATGTCCATTTCCTACATTGGTAGCAAGAAATGTGTCTCTTATTTTCAGTTTCTCCCTGCTTTCTCCCTGTTACGTTAAACATAAATCCTTGCTGAAATCTTCACCTTGTGAGACTCTCTTTGTTGAATACTCTTGAAGTGGGTCTCAAGGATCTTTGTTTTTGTTTTGTTTTGATTTTTGGTTGTGGGCCTGGGCGCTGTCCCTCAGCTCTTCAGCTCAAGGCAAGCACTCTACCACTTGAGCCACAGCAACACTTCCGGTTTCCTAGTGGTTTATAGGAGATAAGAGTCTCACTGACTTTCCAGCCAGGGCTGGCTTTGAACAGCAATCCTCAGGTCTCAGCCTCCTGAGTAGCTAGGATTACAGGCATGCGCCATGGGCGCCCAGCTGACTTTTGTTTTGTTGTGGAAACTGGAAAGGGGAAGCATTATCCATCATCTGATGACAGAATGATCACAGTCCAGGTTAGGCATAAAGTGAGATCCTAACTTTAAAATAACAGAGACCCGTCTCAAGTGCACCTGTCTTGCAAGCATGAACCCTTGAGTTCAAAGAGGACACCTAGGCGTGAGAAAGGCTGCAGTGATTTCTTTTTTTGTATTTCCTTTTGTTCTGTTTTTGAGTCCAGCTCCTAGAGTTAGTTTTCTCATGCTGGGAGCAGAGATGGACACATACACACACACACACACACACCTGCACACACACAGGCACACGTGTGCACACCCACTTTCTCCTCTCTCCCAGGCCGCCCGCCTCGTGCTCACCTCTGCGCTGCACCGTGAAGGCCTCCGCAACCTCGTAGTTGTGTCTGCAGAACCTGTCCACCTCCGCCGCCATCTCCTCCAGGCTGGCCTTTTTGTTCCAGGTCTCAGCCTCGGGCCGCCCCAGCTCAGTCAAGGCTATGAACTTTCTGAGGCTGCTGTCAAAGCGCAGGTACTCTTCCTGGTTGTGGATGCGTCTCTCCATAAAGACCAATCGCTGTGTCCCGTTGGAGAAATGACACTCGCTCTTCGCTTGTAACAGGAACCGTGCTGCAGGGACAGGAGCGGTTACTGGCCTGGGTCTTGTTTATCTCTGACCACAGGACTCGGACTCCTCAAGAATCAGCTCCTCTCCAGGAGCCTAAAATGGTTGGACATAAGATGGAGATGACAGCGACCCCGGAGGACAGAGCCTCCAGGCTGCTGGGCAGGGAGGTGCAGTGTGGGCTAGAGATGAAGTAGGGCGCCATGGAGCAGGGCAGCCTTCAGGGCAGGGCTCCTGACAATTGCCATGACCACCGAGAACAGAAGAGGTGGGCAGATCCTGAAATTTTCCACCCATTTCCCATAAAACGTGGGATATTCCTCCCCTCTCTTACTTCATTTTTTTGTGGCTTTTTGTTTGTTTGCGTATTGTCTAAGCTAACAGCTCCTTCACCCTCCTAACTATTAAGCAAAATCTCAGGCATAATCTTACCCTTGCTCCACACTTTGTGGTTATTTGCATGTCTCTTTGCATAATTTATGCAAAGTCCTGCTCCTGCTAGTCATCTGATATTTAGCATTGTCTCTATAACAAGCCACAGGTTTGCCTTCCCCAGAGAATTTTGCTATGATCCTAAATGGTCTCCCTATTTCCATATGTGAGCTCCAAGAATCCAATCTTACATATCATTGCATTTAAAAAATTTTAAAATGCAATATGAATCAAAACGCCTTGAAATCACATAGTAGCTTAACAAATTTGTTTTCTTTGTGCTGATCCAACAGCTTGAATTCAGGCTCTGGATATGGTCTTTTAGCTTTTTGGCTCGAGGGCTGGTGCTTTAACTAATTGAACTACAACTCCCCTTGTAGCTTTTTGCTGGTAAATTGGAAATAAGAGTCTCACAGACTTTCCTGCCTGGGCTGGCATCAAACCAGGATCCTCACCTCCCAGCCTCTTGAGTATCTAGGATTACAGACATGAGCCAGTGTGCCCAACAAAATTCAAGTTTCTTATCCTGGCTCTCAGCGGGTGTTGTATGATTACGCTCCTGACCTCATGTCCATACCACCTCACCATCTGCCACCCTGTCTTACTCACTAGTTAACCAAAATGAAGCCGTTCTAGGCTCCTGGCACTCCCTTAAACCCAGCACACATGTCTCAACATTTCTGGTTTTTCCCTATTTTCTTATTTTGTCTCTTAGGTCTTCACTTGGCTGTTTTCTCTTTCTTCTTCTTTTAGCTAAATGGCTTTCTTGAGAATTCCGTAAGATCTATAGTCAGGTGAGTCTAATAGTCTTCGTTCCATATCCTGATGGCTTCCCCCCACCTCAGAGTACTTATTGGTCTATCAAACTTTTTCTTTATTAGAATCTTGTAAAGTTTCTTTTTTTTGTTTGTTTGTTTTTTGTTTTTTGCCGGTCATGGGGCCTGAACTCTGGGTCTGGGCGCTGTCCCTCAGCTCTTCAGCTCAAGGCTAGTGCTCTACCACTGGAGCCACAGCGCCACTTCCGGCTTTTTCTGTTTATGTGGTGCTGAGGAATCGAACCCAGGGCCTCATGCATGCAAGGCATGCACTCTACCGCTGAGCTACCTTCTCAGCCCCTCTTGTAAAGTTTCTATCTTACTTTCATATCTCTAGATGTTAGAATGCTTTGAGTCAAGAACAGAGGATAGTATACAACTTACTCAAGAACCTACCTGTGATACAAATGAAACAAGCACTGCTCTGGAAATTGACCTCAGTGGATAACCTGGAAAGGAAGAATTGTTTCAAGCTCCACACTCTTTTATTCCATGACACATTCTGTGTCTTCCACTTCCAGAGAAATTTAGAGAACCTTCCTCTCTCTCTCCTCCTTATGAGTATCCAAAGATAAGGAAAAAAATGACTTAAACAGCATGGAAATTGAGTTTAATCATCTCCAATGGACCTCTGCAAAGTTCATGGCTATTTAATAATGGCGGTAAAATGATTGGAAAAAAAAAAAGAAAGAAGTGGAGGTAGAGGGAACTGAGCATGACTAATTAAAGGAAGACACATTTGATATTTGTTAAGACTTTGGTGGGCCATGAGTTCCCCTTACTTCTCTATTGGTTTCTAGACTGATGAGTTGGAAACAACCTTCATGTTTTTCTTGTGTCTCTGCAGGGGTGGGTTGTTTAAAGCGCATCATGTTGCTGGTATTCAGGACTGGAGCATGGTTCAAGTGGTAAAGTACTTGCATAGCAAGCACAAGACCCTGAGTTCAATCCAGAAGCAATTGCTTATATTTCACTATTTTGACTTTAAAAAAATTAGATTTTCATATATTTTAATTAAACTAGATCGTTCCTCTCATGAGCCAGAGAATGCAAGATATGTAGGAGAAAGTGAAAACTCATATTATAGGTCCAGAACAAATTCATAACGTGAATCCTAACCTGTGCCAAGTTTTTGGAAAGATGCCTTAAAGAGCAATTTACAGCTGTTCATTGTCTATGACACTGTTTCAAGTACAAAGGAACTCTGCTTCAGCTATAAGGTGCTGACCTCAAGATAAAAAGGAGATCTCTAATCCTACCATCCTTCAAGGCATCTCTAGCACAAGGACACAGACTAAACAAACACTGGAGCTCAGGGACCAAAGAGATACTCAGTATAATCTCTCACTGGCTTTCTGACTTCAGAGAAACCTAGCTAGTTCAATACCTGACTTTGTTTTTTACTTAAAACAATGAAATACACAGAATTAAACACACAAAATAGAATAGAACCATGCATATAATGTCTTTTTAAAAGAGAAAGCTCTTTTCTGACATAATTAAACATAATGCAGGGAAGGGGAATATAGCAAATTAGATTGACATTATTCATAATTCCACTAATGCCTGGAGGGAATATGAATCTAAGATTAAGTATTTTATTGGAAAAGATCTAAAAAGAAATGATTTATACATACATGTGCTTTACACAGATCTCCTAAAGGAGACGAGTATTTAGACTCCTGTTGTGTGGAAGTAGTTTGGATTTCATACAAGTTAGGTCAGAAGTTATTGAAGTAATCTCAAGTGTTAAGAGATTTATCCTGGGCAAAATGAAGAAGCTATCTCCCTGCTTTGCTCACCCATAGTAGCTCAGCACCCGAGGTGTGCACTTACGTTGAAAGTCCCTGGTCAAAGCCAAAGGAAGACTCAGCACCATCAGCAGCACCATCGTAACTGCCATGTGGAAGCCTCCAGGGAGCCTTGGATACACCATGCTGGAGATCAGCATGAACCCTCTCTACCCAGATCCCAAGTAATAACCAAGGTATTCATTGCTTTGATGCTGGATTGACCAAGTTCAATATAGACAAACCAGTCAGCATTAGAGATGAAAAGCATCACCTGTTGCTGGGCAGAGATCGAATACCAATGTACTCTTTTGAAATGTACCCATTTCTTTAGTTTTTTTTTACTTAATATTTTAACTCCTTAACCCCCATATACCTGAATTATTTTATTGGGATCTCTATCCTGATCTGGTCAGTCCTGGTAAGTAATATAGTCACAAGGATGAGCCTTGTAAAGACAGTTGCTTGCACAACTACTCACTTGGGCAGAGTGCAGAGCCACGCACAGGAGCACCCCTATTGTTTCTTCCTAACCAAGATAAGAAGATAGCTAGTTGAGTCAAGGGTGTTAGCTTAATAGCTTGTTGATACAGTGCCCCCTGCTTTGATTCCTGAGGTTGTTTTGGTGTCTTCCTTTCTTCCTCATGAGGAACCTCCAGATTGCTGTTGACAGTGGTTATACTAGATTACTTTTCCCACAAACAGTGCAATAGGATCATTTCTTTTCCCCCACATCCCCACCATTTGTTATTGTTCAAGTTCATGTCGTTGGCCAATCTAACTGGGGTGAGATAGAATCTCAGAGTTGTTTTATTTGCGTTTCCTTTATGGCTGGGGATGATGAGCATTTTCTCTTGTGTTTCTTTGCCATTCTTACCTCTTCTTCGGAGAAGTCTCTCTTAGTACACTTACCCATTTAGTGATCCCTTTTTTTTAGCTTTGGAAGGGGTTAGTTGCTTGAGATTCTTGTATCTTTAGGATATTAGACCTTTGTCAGATGTATTGCTGGTAAAGATCTTCTCCCAGTCTGTTGGCTGTTTTTCTAGTTTAGTAACTATGTTCTTTGCTTTTGAACAGGTACCTTCAAGGTGCCTGTTCACCCTGCAGTGCTGGACCCAGCAGTTGGTATCACAACCTCTGACCTCAACTCTACTAACAGAGATGCATAACAAAAACAGTTTGTTATCCCCTTTCTGATGCTGTGGTCCTTCGAGTTGGAAGACACAGGGGAAGACATGGTGTCACTGAAGACTAGCCAGCCTTGATCTCGGACAGGCCCAGGGGCACCTGCCAGCTGTGTTCTCCAGGGACAACTGGTTCTCCAAACTCAGTGGCTTAACAAGCTACAACCCAAACCACCACAGGGGGTTCTGCCCCACACCATCCTGACTTCTTCCTGACTTCTGGAGCTGGGCATCCTCTATTGATCTGCTGTGACTCACACAGTAGTGTGCCAGGAGGGTTCCATGTTAAGATTTAGGGACCGGGCCGGAGGTGGATCTGTCACTTTGCTCCAAGTTCCACTAGTCACATGTAATACCAAGAAAGACTAAGAAAGATGGTTTCAAGAGCTGGACACTAATGGCTCCCACCTATAATCCTAGCTACTCAGGGGGCTGAAATCTGAAGATGACAGTTTGAAGCCAGCCCAGGTGGGAAAGTTCATGAGATTCTGATCTCCAACGAACCTCCAGAAAACTGGAAGTGTTACTGTGGCTCAAAGTGGTAGAGTACTAGCCCCGAACGAACAAGCTCAGAGACAGCACCTAGGCCCTGAGTTCAAGCCCACGACTGACAAAAAAAAATGGCTTAGGTGTTTTCTGGGTGAAAGTGTCTCCTTCCAAAACTGTATCTGACAGTTCTAACACTCAGTACCCAGAATGCAACCTGGTTTGGAAATAGTGTCTTCACAAGGGATAATCAAGTTGATAAGATCCTTATGCTGGGCCCTAATATGACTGGAAGTGTTATAGAGTGGGAAAGATAACAAGACAAAGACCCAGAGAGAATGTCACCCACAAATCAGGGAGCACCCCGGGCTACTAGAAGCCAAGAGAGAGTCCTTCCCGGAGAAGACCATTCTCAGAATGAGCTTTGTTAACACTATGATCTCAGCCTTTGAGGCTCCAGGATCCTAAGACATTAAATGCCTGTTTGCCACATTGTTTGCAAGACTCAGCCACCTTCCTGGCTGTCCCCCATCAGTAAAATACATGGTGGGTTTGGGACATATGGGGCTGCCAGCCATTGCAGCCCCAGCTCTGCTCAAAAGGGGACAAAAACATAAACCGATCTCCTTATAGAAGCTTTCTGCCTCATGGATGTGCTGAGCCCCTTACCCAATGCCCCATGCCTCCCCTGGGACATGTCACCTTTTCCCTACTCCTGACACGAATCCTTCCAGAAAAAGAGAGAGAGAGAGAGACACAGACAGACAGACAGACAGACAGACAGACAGACAGACAGAGACAGCGACAGAGACAGAGATGGCCCTAGCCAGCTAGAGTCGCCATGTGGAGGAGGAAGGGGATCTGTGCTGCTCCCACATTGCTGTTTCTTCTCCCTTGGTCTAGAACTGCAGGAGCATTGCCAGTACCTTCTTAAGGGACCTCAGACATTTCAGCCCCTAGATGCTTGTAGGACTCGGGTCCTTCCTCGTAAGGTGAGTATCCTCCCACTGACTTTCCTGTCCACACAAGAGTCCATTGGCAATGGTGCTGTGACATGCTGGCGATAGAACATGCTGCCTACCCCTCCCCTCCCAATAGAGCAGTAATCATGGGAGCTTAAGAGGCTGTGAATCTTGCCCGCTCACAGCCAGTGCTGGACAGGGGCCAACACCTGGCAAAAGTGGCTGGCTTTGGGAATGGGGAGCTGCCAGAGTTACCAGGGGGAAGGGTTCCTAGGTCTAGAAGGGTATCTGATAGATCTAGAAGGTCTAACCTTCTAGACCTGGGTGCCAGGCAGCAGCCATCTGGGCAGGAAGGGAACACTGGCTGGGGTACTTGGGCCTGGCAGCTGTACCTGCCGCCTGGCTGAGACCCGGCACCCTGTCTGCTATTGAAGCCAGCTGGATAAGTGCATTGAGAACTCTCTGTCTCATACCATCTCAGGCCATCCAGAAAGGCCTGTCACCAAATGACAGCACAGACCTGCAATCCTAGCCATATCACCAGTTGTTGATGCCTCAACCTTGGAGCAGAATCAGGAACCAAATCAAAAATCTTTTCTTTGAAATGGACCCTGTTAGTGACATTGTATTATTATCATTAGAAAGCAGGGAGGAGGCTGAGAATGTGGCGTTGTGGTAGAGTGCTTACCTATCATTCATGAAGCCCTAGGTTCAATTCCTCAGTACCACTCAAACAGAAAAATCTAGAAGTGGCGCTATGGCTCAAGCGGTAGCGTGCTCACCTTGAGCTGAAGAGCTGAGGGACAGCATCCAAGCCCAGAGTTCAAGCCCCATGACTAATGGAAAAAAAAAGGATCAAAATAGATTTAAAATATGCAGTAAACTGTCTGAGGTTTTCATAATAAGCCTTAAACACTTCAAGGCACCCAGGAACAACTCATAGATTCTCCTTATGGATAGCCTCATTCTAAGTATTAAGGGTTTCTACCTCGGCTACAGGATGCTTCTAGAGAAGGATGCAGGAACTCTAACCCTGCCTTCCATCAGAGCACCTGCCCCACAAGGACACAGACTTCATACACATTGGAGCTAAGGGGGGGAGGGGAGAAGGGAAGAAGGGAAGAAGAAGAAGGAGAAAGAGGAGAAGAAGAAGAAGAAGAAGAAGAAGAAGGAGGAGGAGGAGGAGGAGGAGGAGGAGGAGGAGGAGGAGGAGGAGGAGGAGGAGGAGGAGGAGGAGAAGGAGGAGAAGAAGGAGAAGAAGGAGGAGAAGAAGGAGGAGAAGAAGGAGGAGAAGAAGAAGGAGAAGAAGAAGGAGAAGAAGGAGAAGAAGAAGAAGAGGAGGAGGAGGAGGAGGAGAAGGAGAAGGGAGAAGGGGAGGGGGAGGGGTGGGGGAGGGGTGGGGGAGGGGGAGGGCTTCTCTTGGCTGGACCTCACAGGTGACGAGACAGCAACATTGCAGATTCAGTGGAGGCTGGGACATAGGCTGTATAGAACAGACCCTTCTAATTCCCTTTGAAAGCTTGTTCTGACATATCACAGTATTAATCAGGGAAGGGCAGTGTGGGGAACTATTTTAACATGATTGCTTCTAAGTCCTGTCAGGCCCTTCAGGGAAAGGAATGTAATATTGGAGAGGCTTTACTGCAGGAGACTTGGAAATGATCTACATGGAGACACCATAAATAGAGCTCACAGAGAGGACAAATGTGGAGGCTCTCTTTAGTTTGGGGAGTTGTTCTGTGGAAATTATTTGGGATGCATATGATAAACATAGGTAGCCACCTAAAAATCAGTCATATTTTTTAAGGGATGCTGCCTGGAAACAATGACCCAGTTAGCACTCTTCCTCCCATAATTCCTACTTGTTTAGCCCTCATGTGTGCACTAAGGTTGAGTGTTCCTAACCACACCAGGGGAAGACTCTGCATCCTCACTGTCATGGTTAGAGCGGCCGTGCAGGGTCCTCAGGGGACTCAAGCCACAAGCACATCATGCTGGAAAATAGAAGATGAGAGCCAGGGGAGTAGATCATCTTTATCCAGTGAGAGCCATGACCCTTCTGCATCCACATCCCAAGTAATGAGAATCAAGGTATTCATTGGTTTGGTGCTGGATTGGGTGATTTCAATGGGGAGAAACCAATCTGCATATTAGCAGTGGATAGCATCATCAGTTGCCGGGCAGAGATTCACTATGAAGGTCTTTAAAACTCAAAACTTCCATTGTTAAAAGGGTTATTTCCATTGTTTATGTGAAAAGTTAGATCCAGTTATATCTGAAAAACTTGAATTGAGCCACCAGGGTGAGACATCTCTGTGTTGGCAGGCGAGGCATTCATCAGCTCAATTCACATGATACTTGAGGACGGAGTGAGTTGGACAACTGCATGTGTGGACATGTTTAGGGATAAAGGGAATGGAGAGTAAATGATTGCACATCAGGACAAGTTTCATCTTGTGTTGACTGTGCCTTGACTAGGTATTGTAGATTGGGGATATCATTAACTTCTCACAGTTGAAATGAGGGCACTGCAATCTTTCAAGCATTTTAGTTTTGCTGTGATTTTGGAGAACCCATGAGAAGCAGCGTTCCACTGTAACTGATCCTTTGAAGAATTAAGTCTATATTTCTTTTTCCATCTTAATGTGTGTGTGTGTGTGTGTGTGTGTGTGTGCGCGCGCGCTGGTGCTGAAATTTGAACTCGGGGCCTAGGTGGTATCTGTGAGCTTCCTTTGAGGCACAGTGCCACTTTTTCTGAGTAGTTTATTGAGGATATGAGCCTCATGGGCTTTTATACTTAGGCTAGCTTTGAATTGCGATCCTCAGATCTCAGTCCTTTTAATAGCTGGGATTACAGGATGTGCCACCAATGACCCACCACTTTTGGCTTTAAAAAATTACTTTATGGTTTATACACACTTGGTGAACAGAGGAATTACAGTTGCATGAATAAGGCAATGAGTACACTTCCTTTTATATAGTGTTTTCTGCTCCCTTACTGTCTCCTAGTCCCTCTGTCGCATCTCTATCCATGAGTTGTGCAATTCACTTTTGGCTTTCCTGAAGTTCATTGGAGATAAGAGAGTCACGGACTTTCCAGCCCAAGCTGGGTTCAAACTTTGATCCTAGTGTCTCAGTCTGCTGAGTTACTTAGTATTACAACTAGGAGCCACAAGTGCCTGGATAATTTCTTTTCATTTTATTCATTATTATCTTACTTTCTTATTTCATTAACTTTAGTTGCACAAAAAGTCTTTAAATGTTTAATCATCTTTTTTCACAAAATGATTTACATTTACCATGTCAGTTTGTGACTACATTTGCCCACTTTTCCTCTTCTTAACATTTAGGAACATGGCTGATAAAGAAAATCCAGAGGCAGTCATTTTACTGAGTAAGTGTTTCAAGTTTATCTGCTGCTGTCACTGATTTCAGTGACCAGAATCCACATGGGCACTGGGATGGGAAGCTGTCTACACAGAATGAAAGCCTGAAGAGAATCTTTGCACTTAGCAACAGGGAAAGACCACCCCCTAAAGCAAACCACACAGAGGCTCAGCGATCAACATGGGACTCAGCCTTAAACACATCCCTGCTTTAAAATAATTGTGAAAAGCTTTCAATGCTTCAACCCTACTTTCCATTATGATTGTCTCGTTTCGTTGAGAGTGTGTCCATTCATTGTGCCATTTCACCTGCTCTGCCTCAGCAATGACTATAGAAAGCCCTGCTAATCAGCTGGTATGTGTTTGATTCAACAGTTTGCCTGAGAGCCACCAGTAAAGTAAATATCAGGGACCCCAAATGAAAACAGAATATGGAATCTTAGACTTAAAGTGTCTCCATTTTTTTTTTTTTTTTTTTTTGGTCGGTCGTGGGGCTTGAACTCTGGGCTTGGGTGCTATCCCTCAGCTCTTCAGCTCAAGGTGAGCGCCCTACCGCTTGAGCCACAGGGCCACTTCTGGTTTTCTAGTGGTTTATTGGAGATAAGAGTCTCATGGACTTTCCTGCCCAGGCTGGCTTTGAACTGTGATCCTCAGATCTCAGCCTCCTGAGTAGCTAAGATTACAGGTGTGAGCCACTGGTGCCAGGCATCTCCATATTTTTTACTTTATTAATTTAATAGAAGATACATACCTGTGAACTAGCCAAAGGGGAAACCAAAATTAGAAGAACAGATGTGTTATATGTATCATGTTGATCATTCATTTTTAAATGAAGGGCAGGGTTCTTACATTTAAAGAACCTATACTTGTTTTCTTCAGGAGTTAAGTATCTAAAAAGTTTTCACCAATAAAGATCCACAATTTATGAAATAGTGAAAATGCTTGGATAGATATTGTGATAAACTGGAAATTTGGAAATACATTAATTCAGAATCTGCTACTGATATGGAATAACTTTGAATGATGTGTCTGAATTTCTTCTCACAATATCAGAAAAATAAATAACACCATAGTTTTCTTTCTTTTGGACAAACAAGGAACTGCATGAAAAACCTATAAGAAATAAGATTTTTCACTCCATGTTTATTTGAGAAAAAATATAAAACAAAGTATTGTGATACAAGGCCAGTTGGGGTGGGGGCGGCGAGGAGCAGAAGGTTTGAATGCAAAGGGGCCAGGAGAGAGTGCAGGGCAGATCTTGCGGTCTGTCCTGGGGCTTTGCTCAGGGACAAGGGCTGAGTGGGATACAATCTGCTGGAGCAATTTCATGAGGAGAGGTAGGGGCAGAGGTCCTTCCTTCCCAGCTGTCCACCTTCACTTCAGCTCAGGAGTCCTGCAGGAGGCAGCGGACAGAATGTTGTCAGACCTAATACAGAAAAAGGCTTTCCCCCCTTATAAATGCTTCTCATTATAACATGTGGGAAGAGGTGGGGGGACTTTCAACCAGCCCTCAGCCAATGCTGCTTTACAGCACTACTTAGAACTGGACTGAGGGCCTGGACACTGACCCTTAAATTTTTTCATTCAACTTTGGCACTCTACCACTTGAACTACAGCTGGTTAACTGGAGAGAACAATCTCAAGAACTTTTCTGCTCTGATGAGCTTTGAATCAGGATCCTCAGTTCTCAGCCTCATGAGTAGCTGGGATTATAGGCTTGAACCACCAGGGCTGGCTATAGCACAGCTTTTTATTCAATGCAAAGTGGGCCTGGGGCACTGCACTTGCCTAATATAACATGCATAAGGCCCTGAGTTTGAATGACAGGACCACAAAAGCACAAAAGAAACAAATAAAGAAAAATGTGCAGAGAACAAGGTTTAGTTCATATTTCTGCTTCATCAAAAAATTTGCCTCTAGTTCTTTCACAGTACTTCTGCTTGTCTCATTGTTGTGAGAGAAGCAAGTCTGTCTCTGAGAGAGGATTAGAGAACATTACCTGCTGGCTGAAGTCCAGAGTTTCCTGCAATGGAGACAAAAAGGACAGATAATTAACTCTACAGAAGCCAAACTAGCTTCAAACCCAGCAGCCTAGACTCACATCTGCCACCTGAGACTTCTCCAACACCACTGAGGCAGGAGAGATGGAGGAGGGGACACAGAGGAGACAGGGAAATTAACTTATACTTAATAAATCAAAACAGGGCCAGACTCAGAAGTTAAAACCTGGAAGCAACTAAAAAGCAGTTAAACTTCCATCCACTCAAATGCTATGTTACAAGAACTAGGAGAGCTCATCAGGGCAACCTAAATATGGTAAGATAACAGAATCAAGCAACTCTGTAAATGAGTAGATACAGTAAGATGACAATCTTAACCAGAGAGGGGAAGCCCTAAAGCTCACCTATTTCCCCCATGTTTCTGGGAGGACCAGAGACAGCTCCATATTTTAGAATACTAAGCAGCATCTCTCTTAGCCACTGAGAAGCACTGCCTGGTTGGGGGCTGCTACATGACATGACCACATCACCCAGTTCAGAAAAAATGAACAGGGCAGATAACAGCCACCATTTTGAATCTTTAAGTGCCATTTCCTGCACGTGGGGAGTAGGGAATATTTTTCTTGCTTTCTAATTCTTCCTGCATTAACCTTGTTGTACTAAAATAAATCCTGCTTAAAACTTTCATCTTATAAGTCTCTTTCCTTTCAGAAGACACCATGACAGGATTCTCTTTTTTTGTTTTGGTGGGTTGTGGGGCTTGAACTCAGGGCCTGGGCACTGTCTTTGAACCTCTTTATGCTCAAGGCTAGTGCTCTACCACTTGAGCCACAGTGTCACATCTGTTTTTTGAGTGGTTAATTGGAAATAAGAGTATTGCGAGGCCTTTTCTACCCAGGCTGGCTTCAAACCGCGATCCTCATATCTCAGCCTCCTGAGTAGCTAGGATTACAGGTAGGAGCTTCTAGCTCCTGGCTACATGATATGCTGTTCATAAAGCTTAGGGAGACCCTCATGCATTCTGTGGTGATAGTTTTGGAATTACTTTGACAGCTAAGGTCACATGAGAAAAGGAAACTACCCACAGGCCCATAGGTGTCCTTAGAATTAACCTCAGTGAAGTCACATTTCTCTAAAAAAATAAGTTCTGTGGACCAAGATTCTCAGATACCAGAAACTTCCTTACCTTTTGAGTTCCTGTGGTAGATGAACAGCCCTGCACCCAGGAAGAGCAGCCCCAGCACAAAGCCCCCAACTCCACTCATCATCTTGCCCTGCGCAGATCCAGATTGGGGCTCTGAAAGGAGACGCCAGGATTAGTTACGTGTGTACAAAATCAGAAATTCTCTTATGAGACCCTAAGACTCAGACTCTTGAGAAGATAAAAGCCTGCCTCAGATGAATGAGATTTGGCTATTCCTGGAAAAAAGAGAATTAAAAATCACCTTGAACCAGGCCCCAGTGGCTCATGCCTATAAACCCAGATACTGAGCGGCAGAGAATTGAGGATTGTGGGTGTAGGTCAGCCTGGGTAGAAAAGTCTATGAGGTTCATATCTCCTATTAACCACACAAAACCTAGGAGTGAAGCTGTGGATCAAGTACTAGAATGATATCGTTGAGAAAAGAAGCTAAGGGATGTTACACAGGCCTTAATATCATGCTCTGGTACCAGCATGTGGGTGTACACACACACACACACACACACACACAAATACACATGCACAGACACACACTCATTACACTTAGTAATGAAAAGATATATATTCTGAATTTATGAAATTATCACATGGCTGAAGGGCCACCTGCTCTGTGAAAACTGTGGAACTCAGTCACATCACAGAGCTGGTAAAGGATGCGGGAGCTAATGGCGGAGTTAGGACAACAATTATGTCAGGAAGGACCCTGCATTGCTACTCTTCTCAGATCACAGTGAACAACCCAGACAGTAGCACCCACACATAAGCTCAGCCCTGAGGCTGAGGCTGGGCCAGGACTGAGGAGGTAACTAGGACCTGTGGTGTCACAGGGCTTTCAGAACAGTGTCCTGATTGACACACCCATGTCCCCATGGCTCATTGGTGTTTCTAGAAACATCTCAGCCTTCCTGCCCCCAGCGACCAACACTGAAGGAGAGAGCATGGAATGGGTGAGAATCCAGTGTGGGGAGAGAATCCTGAAGCTGTGGTATAGGGAGAGGAGCCCTGCACTCCGCAGGCAGCCAGGTCTTCATCTGGCCTGAGGCTTTATACAGTCACCAACATGCTCACTCACTCCACTGCACGGTGACAGGACCGTCCAGGCTGGGGTGCTCCACGTGGCAGGTGTAGACGTCCCCCTGTTGGGGGGTTATCTCCAGCATCACCATGATCTGGAAGGTCCAGTCTCCATTGTAGACCAGGCCTGTGGACACTACCCCAGCCTCCTCTTTGTGGCCATTGCGGAGCCATCTGACTTCAATGTTGCCTGGGTAGAATCCATGCACAGCGCACACCAGGAGGTTGTGGTGCTGCAGGGGTTCAGACTTTGTGGGGTACACAGTCACCATAGGCTTAACTGGGGAAGAAAAGGCAGAATAAGTCAGAAGACAGCAGAATCCTCCTTGGTTTGCTGCCTTCCTGTGTTTGTCCAACATTCCCAGGTTCCAGTCCTGGCTGGTGATACAAGTTCTAACTGGTAGCACCATGGAAAAGCAGGCTACAGGACTTGCAGATGGTAGGATAAATGGATAAAACTTGCCTGACAATGAAATGCAGGCACAAAAGAATGAGGGATAAGAAAACAACGAATGAAGAATTAAAGATGGGGCTCTTCATCTTTGGCTCCATGACCTTACAGCAACCAGAAAGGAGAGTCATAACCATGTGTCTGTCTCAACGACTCTAATTCTCTGGATTAAGCCAAGGCCAGGCTCTGTGAGAAGGAAGGTGGTTGGATGGGCTTATGCTCTGTCTTCCTGTGGCATGTCCACGACACAGGCTCTCTTTCTCTCTTTCTCATTTCTCTACTGATAATTCTTCCCCTCACCTTCACCATGTGCACACCTTGCCTGTCTTCTCTGGCCCAGCATAAGAACTGAGGTCCCCTTAGCTGCCCTGAATTTCTGGTAATGTATTTGTGGTAGTAGTCAGGTAGTCAGAGATTAAATATGTCTTTTTCTCGTTTGGATTCACTGATAATTTCAAAATAATCAGTTGAAAGGAATTGAGGAAATCCCCTTTTTCAATCAGTGGTGGGGTGCTGTGCCACTGGCCTATTACCCCAGCTAGGAGACTGGGTGCAATGGCGGGAGGCTGTCATCCCGTGAAAGGAGGAGACTCCTGCAGAAGTGAGGTGAGATGCAGACATAAGGAGCCCGGCGATAATGTTGTTTCAAATAACTCTCATGAGCAGAGTCAGACGTTAACTCCAGAGGAGGAAAAAGCAGTTCAACTTCCCGACCACTATACCTTCTGCTAGGTGCTGAGTTCAAGAGTGGAGACCTGAGACATGCTATCTGAATCTGCCCTTCCTATGAAGGTGCAAAACCCTGCCAGCTCCATCAGTGGGTAGAGGTGGACAGTGGGAGGCAAATCTGGGAAAAAGAGGCCCTGTCTAAAGCTCAACGATTTCCCCAAGGTTTATATAGGCTCCAAACCTTCTTCATATTTTAGAACATGAGCAGCACTCGTCTTGGCCGTACTGAACCATGGTGCAATGCTCAGGAGTTGAGGAGCTCCACAATCACATGCAACCCACCAGGAAGAATGAAGGCCACTGCCATCTTGATTCTTGACCACCCTTTCCTATGTGGGAACCACGAATTATAGATCTCTCATTTTCCATTTCTCTTTGCTTTGCCCTTCTTTTTAAAAAAATTTTCTTTGTTGAGATTAAGTGGTTATAAAAATTTCACAATATTGTGAAACAGTGATACTTAGGTAAAGTACTAAACACATTTTAACCTTTGTTTTGTTTTGTTGGTCATGGGCTTGAACTCTGAGCCTGGCACTATCCCCCAGCTCTTCAGCTCAAGGCTAGTGCTCTACCACTTGAGCCACAGTGCCACTTCTGGTTTTCTCATGGTTTATTGGAGATAAGAATCTCACAGACTCCTTCCCAGGCTGGCTTTGAACCATGATCCTCAGATCTCAGCCTCCTGAGTAGCTAGCATTACAGGCGTGAACCACTGGCACCAAGCCACATTTTAACCTTCACAAGGCAAACCGTCATTATCATGGTTCATAACACTTGTGAAGTCTACACATTTTGATGATACAACTATTTCTTCCAAATCAGGAGACATGTACATTTCTTTCCTTTTGCTTAGGATGAGCCATTCCCTCTTTCTCACTCCCTCCCTCCCTTCGCTGCCCTTGAGTTGCTTAGTTCACTTTCATCCATGTCCAGCGCAGCTGATGGCCTCTGCTCTATGTTACCCCCTGTTTCCCTCTGCGTCTGTGCCTGCTCCTGGCTTCCCTCAGATGTGCACATGTGTATTCCATATGTGGGGCCAAGAACATGGAGTCATCTAAAAACAAGGCCACAAAATAAGAAGAGGTCCTTTGTTGCTTGAGTACTGTTTACCTTGCCATATCTTGTCTCATTTTGAATTTAACATCCACCTATCAGGGAGACCATGTGCCTTTGTCTCTCTGAGCTGGGCTTACCTCACTCATCATGATTTGGTCTAGTTCCATCCATTTCCCTGCAAAGGCCATTGTTTTGTTCTTTTTAATGGCTACATAATATTCCATTGTATATAGGTATCACAATTTATGGAAGCATTCATCTGTTGTGGGGCATCTGGGTTGTTTCTTATCTTGGGTATTGTGAACAGTTGCTTAGCCCTTGTTATATTAAGAACAGTCCTTGCTGAAACTTTGCCCTTGTGGGACTGTTTTTGTGAAAGGCTCCTGAAGTGCCTTTCATGAGTGGATGTCAAGGACCTGTGGATTTTCCTGGGCAGGGGTGGTTTGGAGCCCTCACCTGTCATCTGATGACAGAAGGCCCACAGGCCAGCCTGGGCATAAAGTGGATCCTCACTGTAAATAATCAAGGAGGGGAGGTGGTGGAGACCTGGTTCCAGTGGTGGAGCACCTACCTGACTTGCAGGCTGGAGGCCTGAGTTCCACCCTGAATTGTGCCAAAAAAAAAAAAACAAAGAAAGGAAGAAAAAGAAAAAAAAGGGGGGGGGGAGTGAGGGGAAGGATGGAGGGGGAGGGGAGGACAAACTGTTAGGGGAGGGGGAAATGGGGAGGGAGGGAGGGGAGAGGGGGTAGGGGAGGAGGACAGAGGACAGGGAAGGGACAGGAGGGGGGAGGGAGGGGAATAGGAAGGGAGGGGAGGGAGGGTAGGGAGGGTAGGGAGGGGAGGGGAGGGGAGAGGGGAGGAGCTGGAAGCAGGACAGGGAGGGGGAGGGGGGAGCAGGGAGCCTGCAGCAGGGCCAGGAGGGAGGGAAGGGTGGAGGGGGAAGGGTGTGAGGGAGGGGATGTGTAGGGGCAGGGGGAGCAGGGAGCAGGTGGGGAGGGAGCAGAGGGGAGGGGGGAGGGGAGAGGGGGGAGGGAGAAGGGTGTGAGGGAGAGGAAGGGGAGGGGGAGGGGGAGCAGGTCAGGGTCCGATGTGAGGGGGAGGGGAGGGAGGGAAGGAGGAGGAGGGGGAGGGGAGGGGAAGTGAGCAGGGGTGGGAAGGGAGGAGGAGGGAGGGAGGGAAGAGGGGGTGGTGGGAGCAGACTGGGGAGGGAGGGGAGGGAGGGTAGGGGTGGGGGAGGGGGAGGGAGAGTAAGAAGCAGGGAGGGAGGGGGAGGGCAGCGGGGCGGGAGGGCGTCTGGAAGTTATTCGTTTCCATCACCTTCTGCTCTGTGTTTGGGTTCAGATCTGAGCGTTTTCTCAGGCTGGCAGCAGAGGCGGGCGGCGCACAGGCACATGCGCACACGCGCAGGCGCACGCGCACCCGCACGCACGCGCCCCGCGCCCCGCCCTCCCCGCACGCACGCGCCCCGCGCTCCGCCCTCCCCGCACGCACGCGCCCCGCGCTCCCCGCACGCACGCGCCCCGCGCTCCGCCCTCCCCGGCGCACGCGCCCCGCGCCTCCCGCACGCACGCGCCCCGCTCACCTTCGCGCTGCACGGTGAAGCCTTCGAAAACCCCGTAGTTGTGTCTGCAGTAGGTGTCCACCGCCGCCCGCCTGTCCTCCAGGAGGTCCTGCTGCCTGTTCCAGTACTCGGCGTCGGGCCGCCCCAGCTCGGTCACCGCGCGGAACTCCCCGACGTCGCTGTCGAATCGCGCGTACTCCGCCCCGTTGTAGAAGAATCTCTCCAGTAAGCGCACCCGCTGCGTGCCGTTGAGGAAGTGACACTCGCCTATATGTTGTTCCAGGAACCGCGCTGCGGGGACAGGAGCGGTTACTGCAGGGGCCGCGTTGACCTCTGACCCCAGGACTCGGGCTCTGAAGGATCAGCTCCCTGCAGGACCCCGAGACGATTGGACACGAGACGGAGACAGTGACCCCCGAGGACGAGGATGAGGACGCCCCATCGCACCGGAGCCGCCTGTGTGAGGAGGGGGTGCGGGGCGGGGCGGGGCGGGGCGGGCCCCGCACACTTCCGGAGTCAGGCACCTGACATCACCAAGTCCACCAAGAACAGAGCAGGCGGCAGACCCGGGAAATTTGCACCCATTCCCCACAAAACGTGGGACAGTCCTCCCCTCCCTACCTTCTATTCGGAATCTACAACCTCCCTTCCCCGCAGGGAGAGGATCAGAAGCGCGAGCTTTCCCTCCCAGGGCTCTTATTCTGGGCCCAGAGTAAAGCAGCCTTAGTTCTGTCATTCCAGCAAGGCCCAATGTCTCCCTCTAGAGGGGGGGAGCGGGGGAGGGGGGGAGGATGGAAGAGAAACACGAGAGAGACAGGATGTAGACAAGAAGAGGCACCTTTGGGAACAGAGTGGGGCCAGAGTGTGGAAAGTCCTGAGGCCTCTGGAGAGGCCTGCTGTTTGCAGAGAGGCCTGGGGAGAGTGGAGAGGCCTGCAGAGAGGGAGGAAGGAAGGAAAAGGAAAGGCCTGCCCCAATGGAGGTTTGGAGGTCTGGAGGTTTGGAGGTTTGCTGACCGACTAATAGAAGGTTTGCAGACTGACTAATGGGAGGTTTGCAGACTGACTAATAGGAGGTTTGCTGACCGACTAATAGGAGGTTTGCAGACTGACTAATGGGAGGTTTGCAGACTGACTAATAGGAGGTTTGCTGACCGACTAATAGGAGGTTTGCAGACCGACTAATAAATGTCGAGGCTGTTCTTTGGAGGTTTGCAGGTGAAGGCTGCTCTTGGCTCTGGGTAGCTAGCCCATGACAAGTTAGTCATAGATCCCTTTCTAGTGTAAATAAAATTCTTTTGTCACCTATAACCCTGCTTCTGAGGATTGTCTCACTCCCAGGTCAGTACAGTTGGAGCCCCAGCAAGATAATCCATCTGCATGGCAGCAGGCCTTGGCCCCCAGAAAATCCCTCACAGGTGAGCACCTCAGCCCTCAGGGAAGAAAGCCTCCCTCCAGCATCTGTTTCCCAAGGACCAACATAGACAGGAGTCATTAGGAAACTGCAGGGGTATGTCTGGGCAGGCCTGCGTCTGGAGAGACTCACTGGAAGGCTGGACATAGCACTACTTCCCAAGTCCAAGGCCGGGATGAGGTGTTGCCCTCCACCTCCTGGGACTTCCTCAAGAGGTCATCTGAGGCTTCCTCAAGAGGTCATCTGAGACCTTCTTGGGAGGTTATCTGGGTCATGTGGGACATGTGGATTGAGTGTGTGAGGCTACTTGTCTGTCTGTTTTTAGTAGTTCTATCTGTATCCTGTATATACCTCTATTTAATCCTTTTTCCAGGTTGGCAAAACAATGTGCTAAGGTTCTTGTAGATGAAACTGTAACTGAAAAATCTTCTGCCCAGTGTTACAGGCCCCAGAGGAAGACCCACTGGTGCACTCTCCCTCCTGCTCTGTGCCATTAGCACCTCAGATGTGAAGTCCCCACCCCCACCCCATGCCAGAAGTGGTTCCTTGTACCAGCCTGAGGTAGTAAAGGTGGTGCAGTCCCCTTACCACCCCTGAGACAGGAGCATGGGGGAGACTGTGGGCAGGCCCTGTTTCTAGGGTATGTTCCCTTTACAACTAGTGACCTGTATAACAGGGAACAACAAAACAGTGTTTGTCACACACCAGCCCACCTGGGACGATTGCCAGCAACTTTTACAGGTGCTGTTCACTTTGGAGGAAAGGGAGCAAATCTGGCACAGTGCCTTGAAGGCAGTCCTTGGACCACATGGTTTTCCCACTGATGACCCAGTGCGTTTGGAGTGAGTCTTTTGCCAGACTCACTCAAGCTGGGAATCCAACAGCGATCGAGGTAAGGAGGCGCTTACCAATTATTGCAGGCTCTGTTGGCAGGGATACGGGCAGCAGCTAGGAAGCCAACTAATTTATCTAAGGTGAGTGAGACAATACAGCTCCCAGAGATTCCCTCACTGCTGTTCTGGAATGTCTCTTGGCAGCTATAGGACTTGTATGCCTACAGGTCCTGAGGCCCCAGAGAATCAGAGAGCCCTAAACATGGCCTTGGTTACCCAGTCGGCCCCAGATATTAGGAAAAAACCTTGAAAGGTTAGACAGTTTTGAGGGAATGGTGTTATCTGAGGTGGTTGTGGTTGCCCAGTGGGTGTTTGATAACAGAGATACAGTAGCAACACCAGGACAGGGATCAAGAAACTCTTGGCAATGGTATGACTTGTTTCTAAATGCCAGTAGGGAACCTCTAGGACTAGACTAGTGTGTTTATTGCAAGGAAAACAGACATTGAAAAAGGATCGTCCAAAGATGGAAAATGACAGGTTAAGTTAGGGAGTTATCTGCCTGAAAACATAGTCCATGTCTCCTGAGAAACATGGAAAGGAGCTTGGGGCTCTGAAATCTAACCTTGATGAACTTAAAAATCTCTGGCCAGGCACTGGTGGCTCACGCCTGTAACCCTCGTTACTCAAGAGGCTGAGATCTGAGGATCGCAGTTCAAAGCCAGCCTGGGAAGGAACATTCATCAGACTCTTACCTCTAAATACCAGAAAACCAGAGTTAGTGTCATGACTCCAGTGGAAGTGTCCTTGCCTTGAACTGAGGAGCCCGGGGACAGTGCCAGGCCCAGAGTTCAAGCCCCACAACCAAAAAGAAATCAGCTCTCTGAACTGAACGAAAAATGTGGTGAGGACCAAGAAAAATTCACGCACTCCTGTCTGAAAACACTGGCTTAAAGAAGACTCTGCACCTCCAGTACATGCCAGTCAGAACTACAGAGAGGCTAAAAGCACATTCAACAGCATGCTGGAGAGAACCAAGAGAAAATTATTGGACATGAAGAAAAGATTTGAAGACATAATCCAGGAATTGTAAAAGCCAAAGATGCGAACAAAATCCTCAAAAGGAACCTGGAAAACTCTCAGAATGAAATGAAAGCCATGTACATCAGCCTGTGTGAGCATGAGGCCGAGCTGAGTGGGGGTTAGAGGGCCCCACAGATCAGAATTTGAAGGAGCCACAGGAAGCAACGCTGCCGTCCTGGCTGACTCCAAGCCTGGCCAGGAGGAGATCCTGATGCTGCACATGGAGATCAAGACCCAGAAGAAGGAGCTGGACATGATCCAAGAACGTAATAGCCTTGAGTGCACGACAATTATCAGCTTTGGAAGAGTGTAGGCAGAAATTCAAAGCAACAGAGAGAAACTAAAAGAGCAGATAGTGGAGCAGACACAGAAGTGCCATGTAAGAAAAGCAGAGGCCAAGAAAAGTGAGCAGGCTTTCCCTCGATGAAGTCCACTTCCCACAATTCACCAGGTGAAGTTCCTCTCTTACAGGCTCTCTCCATATGTTCCATCTTTCCAGCATTTACCTGTTGGCAACTTTCCACATACATTACATAGGCTTGGCAGGCTGAGGCCACACTGGATTTCAAGACAGTTTTAGGCAGTGGCCTGGGGCAATTTACCAGGTGACAAATAACCAGATATAAGCAGACAGGGAAGGCTTGAGTCTGGAACCACTTTTTGCAAGTGCAGTCTCCACATTTGCATAGAAGAGGCCAAGAAAAGTGAGCAGGAAAACAACAGGCTCAAGAAGGAGATTGTCACTCACCAGAAAGAGTTAAAGGACAGGAATTCTCTGATAGGGAATGCCCAAGAAATGGAAAGAGCAGTAGGCAGAAAAACAGAAGAGGAAACAAACAGTTGAAAGATCTGTCAACAAATACACTGGAGTGAAGAATGAGGAAGAGAAGCTATTAGAGGAAAAGGCCAAATAGACTGCCAAGATCCTCACCACACAAAGTCTAATTCAGAAGCAGCATGTCCCAATGGAGCAGGTGGAGGTGCTGAAAAAGTCTTTCAATAGCACTGTGGAGAACTTAAAGGAGGAGCTGAAGAGCAAGCAAAGGAGCTGTGAGAAGGAGCAGCAGGCTGGGAGCAGGCCTCAGCAGCAGTTGGACAATCAAAGCAACTCTCCTGTGCCCCTGGCAGAACACTTGCAGGTTAAGGAGGCCTTTGAGAAGGAGGTTGGATCATGAAAGCAAGCTGGAGAGAAAAGGAGGAAGAAGAAAGCCAAAATAAGCCAGAAGAAGTCTCCAAGCTCCAGACTGAGGTTCAGAGTACTAAACAAGTGTTAAAGAAATTAGAGACTCCTGAGGTTCAGGGAAACAAATGAGCTGATCAGGTAGCTTGGGAAGCTGCCCCAAAACCAGTGGGCCTCTACAGCTATTAGTCATTAAGATGAAAGGAAGAAGCAATAAAAACAGTGGTAATGTATGCAAATGTAGAGACTGCCTTTAGTTACAGGCTCAAGCCTTCTATGTCTGCTTAATATGGTAAATAGCATGATAAATTGCCCCAGGCACTGTCTAAAACTGTCTTGAAAACCAGTGGGCCTCAGCCTGCCAAGCATATGTACTGAATGTAGAAAGGTACCAACAGGTAAATGCTGGAGAGTCAGAACATGTGGAGAGGGTGCATAAGAGAGGAACCTCAGGGTGACTTTTGGGAAGTGGACTGCATGGAGGTAAAGCCTGGAAAGTATGGGTATTGGTATCTGTTAGTACTAGTAGACACTTTTCCAGGCTGGTCTGAGGCATTCCCAACAAAAACCAAAACCACTCACGTAACAGCTAAAACTTACTCCATGAAATAATTCCTTAATTCAGCTTACCCTGAGCAGTGGAGTTCGACAATGGGCCTGCCTTCATGGCCCAAGTCACTCAATTATTAGCTAAAGCCCTAGGAATAAGTTGGAGGTTACATTGTATTTATAGACCTCAGAGTTCAGGACAGGTGGAAAGAATTAATTGGACTTTCAAGGAAACTTCAACTAAAGTAATTACAGAGATGGGCCATGACTGGGTAAACCTCCTCCTCTTTGCTCTCCTCCAAGCAAGACACACCCCTTATGGTAGAGGATTCCCTCGCTTCAAAATAATTTATGATAGACTGCCCCTTTGGTTCCTAAACTGGGGGCAGCTATATTAACAGAAATGTCTAACCACAATCCTGCACAATCACTGCAACATGTTCTGTTGCGTGCCTGTCCTTTGGTAGCTGAGGCCCACCAAGCTCCTAGAAAAACTCCCCCACTCTCTCACCTGCGCAGCTGGTGTGGGGAAAAAGGCATCCTGCTCCTGAACTAGAGCCCAGGTGGCAAGGACCTTACTCAGTAGTGCTAACTACATTGTTGCTATTAAAGTTGCAGCATTGGATCCATCACTCTCAAGGGAAACAGGCAGTGGAACAATATCTAGATATGGCTACAACATGGTCTGTTCAGAGATACTCAGAGGATCCCCTAAAGATGACTCTTACTAAATGTTCATTTCTGTGTTAACAGGGACATGATTCTTTCCTGTGGTTACCCCTCCCTGTTCTTAATGCGTTACTATGGGGAGAGTTTTCTGCCCACACCTTTGTACAGGCAGCCTGTTATTATCTGTTGGATTTGCTGCACTTGAAGCCTGTTTGAGGGAGGAAGGGAGAATTTAGGATTTGTCTCAGAAGAAGCATGTAAAACTCAATTGGGCATGAAAACCAGTGGGGAATGTAAGAACCTGTGGGCAGAAGGCCCGCCCCACTCTGACATCATCACCCCATGGGCCAGGCTGCTGGAGGGGATGGGGCATCAAGAGGTGTCAAGCAGCAATTGGGCAGTGAGCAGCTTGGCGGAGGGCATCAGTGGGCAGTTGGAGCCATTGGAGTGGGGGAGAGGGCAGCCTGTAGATAGGCTGCATGTTCCAAGGATCAGAGAAGGGGACAGAAACATGGGAAAGAGAGACAGTGGAGATGGAGACAGCAAGAAGCTCCTCCCAGAGCAGAGTGGGGCAAGCCTATGAAAAGGCCTGAGGCCTCTGGAGAGGCCTGCAGAGAGGTCTATGGGGAGGGGAGAGGCCTGCGGCTTGTAGACAGGCCTGGGGAGAGGCCTGCAGAGAAGAAGGAAGGAAAAGCCTGCCACTTTGGAGGTTTGGAGGTCCCCGGACAAGGTAGTCACAAGCCCCCTTTCTTTCTTTTTTTTTTTTTTTCTTAGGTTTTCTTTTTTTTTTTTTTTTTTAATTGTGAAAATACTATACAGAGGGGTTACAATTACATGGGCAAGATAATGCCCATTTCTTATCACACATTGTAGCCTCCTCCTTTGTTTCCCCTTCCCATCCCATCCTCCCCAAGCCCCCTTTCTATTGTAAATAAAACTCTTTTGTGACATTTAACCATGCCTCCATGGATTTTCTCACGCTGGGGTCATTACAGAACCAGAAGATATGGAAAGCAAGATCCATAATGTAATCACTTCCCCAAACACCAGCACCCCACCCATTCTCCTTTCCTACCCCAGAGGCAGAACAAGCCCAGAGGGCAAGGAACCCCTGTGACATTACACCACATGGCACCTCACACACCCCTCCACTTGGGTGCTGTGCTGGGGACCACCAAGCAGGAGCTGGGTAAGGACTTGGCCCTCACAGCCCCTGGCCATTACCTCTCCCCCCATCCTCTTCCTCCTCTCCCCCTCCTCCTCTCCCCCCCTCCTCCTCCGCCTCATCCTCTTCCTCCTCTTCCTCCTCCTCCTCCTCTCCACCTCCTCCTCCTCCTCCTCTGTCTCATCCTCCTCCCTTGTCATCCTTCTCCTTCTTTTCCTCCTCCTTTTTCTCCCCCTCAGAAAGTTGCCTTCAATTCCCATGGGTGACTCCCCTTGATCTTCTTCCAGGGTCCCTGATCACTCTCCTCTGTCCCTTTGCTGCCCACCCTTCTTGGTTCCTAGGCACGATCTCTCCCTAAGTGACTTCTTTGACTTCTGGAAATCTAGCCCCGTACTTGTGTCAGTGATGCCAACATAATCCTCCCATCTCACACTCACCCTGAACGCAGCTCTCTTATGTTCACCTGACCCTTAACAGCTCCACACACACATTTCAAAATCATCTCAAACTTGAACTTGTAGCTTGTAATTGACTTTTAGCTTGTAATTGTCCCCTTGAAACCATGTCCTGTTGCTATCTTGCCTGGCTCTGCATAAAGCTCCACCAACCTCCTGACTATTAATTCAAAATTCTCAGGGATAAACTTGGTCCTTTCTCCACCCCTATGGTTAATGCATAGTTCATGCAAAGCCCTGCCCCTCAAATCCATTAGATATTGTCTTCATTATATCAAACCACAAGTTTGCCTTCCTCAAAAATTCCGCTATGATCCTAATTGGTCTACCTACTGCCACCTGTGAACCCCGATAATCCAATCTCACATATCGGCTAAACTTATTTTTAATTCCATATGAATTAAAATGCCTCAAAACCACATAGGAGTTTAAGTAAAACTTAGGTTTGCTTTGTGCTGATCCTAGGGCTTGAATTCATGGTCTGGGAACTGTCCCTTAGGTTTTTTGCTCAAAGCTGTTGCTTTACTAATTGAACCATGAATCTTCTTCCAGTTTTTGGTACTTACTGGGAGATAAGAGCCTGAGAGACTTTCCTGCCACTGCAGGCTACAAACCATGATCTTCAGATGTCATCCCCTGAGTAGCTAGGATTAGAGGCATGAACCATAGTGGCTCAAGAGCATTTAGGTTTCTTAACCTGTCTCTCAGAGCCCAGTAGGATTAGTTCCTGCCCTCAACTCCATACTACCTCACCTTCTGCCACCTGCACCCTATACTCCTGTTCACTCTGAAGCCACTCTGAACGCTGGGCTCTTCCTGAAGCCCAGGACACATGGTGCCACATTTCCAAATTCTTCTTCTTCTTCACCTTGTCTCTTAGGTCTTCAATTTGTTGTGTACTGTCTCTTATTCTTTCAAATAACTGCCACTCTCTTGGAGACACTTCCCTAACAACTAGAGTTGCCTGAATCTTATTGTATTTCTTCCACAATCCTGATTGGATCACCACCAATCCTGAGTATACCTACTCTCTCAAATATGTTTTTTAAATTAGAAGCTTGTAGATTTACTGCCTTACTTTCCTGTCATTAGAGGAGAATACTTTGGGTAAAGAACAGAGATCAGCATATAACTTACTCAAGAACTTATCTGTGATCTAAAGGAAAGCACCAGGGTTCTGGAACTTGACCTCAGTGGCTGACCTGGAAAGCAAGCAGTGTTTCAAGCTGCAGCACTCTTTTCTTTCCTTTTTTTCTTTTGTTATCTTTTTTTTTTTTTGTCGGTCATGGGGCCTGAACTCTGGGCCTGGGCACTGTCCCTCAGCTCTTCAGCTCAAGGCTAGCGCTCTACCACTCGATCCACAGTGCTACTTCCAGCTTTTTCTGTGTATGTGGTGCTGAGGAATGGAACCCAGGGCCTCATGCATGCAAGGCAAGCACTCTACCACTGAGCCATTTCCTAGTCCCTGCATCACTCATATTCAATGTCTTCCACATCCAGAGAAATTCAAACGAATTTCCTTTTCATCTTCCTTCTCAGTATCCACAGATAAGGAAAAAATGAAATAATCAAGGAAATTAAATTTTGTGGCCTCTGATGGATCTCTCAGAAACCTGTGCAAAGCTTATGCATTTTTAGTAGTGTCATTGAAATGACTGTCCCAAACAAAACAAAACAGCAAATGGAGATAGAGGTAAGAAGACATGGCTAGTTAAAGAAAAACAGACATTCGATATTTGTCAATAATGCATGAGTTCCCCTTTCTTGCCTATTGGTGTCTAGCCTCTTGAGTTGAAAGCAACGTTCAGGTTTTCTTTGTATACATGCTGCTCTGTGCTGTTCAAAGCACATGAAATTGCTGATATTTTGGACTGTGGCATAATTCAAGTGCTAAAATCCTTGCATTGCAAGCCTCAGTTCAATCAGATCCAGGGCTTTCAGAAACAATTGCTGATATTTTACTATTTTGACTTTTCAAACATTTGATTTTCAATATTGACTTCAAACTAGCTCAATCCTGTCTTATGGGCTCAAGCAACAGAATGTAGGATATATAGGAGAAAATGGTAACAAATATTGTAGGTTAAGAACGAATTCTTAAAATGAATCCTAACCTGTGTCAAATTTTGGAAAGATGCCTTAAGTACTTTAAGGCACAAAGAGCAATTGGCAGCTGTTCATTGTCTATAACAATGCTTCAAGGCAAAAGGAACTCTGCTTCAGCTACAAGGCACTGAACTCAAGAATACAAGATGATCACTAACCCCACCATCCTTCAAGGCATCCCCAACATAAGGACTCAGGCTTTCCAAACACCAGAGCTCAAGGACAAAGGAGAGAAGATATGAAGTGCAACTCCTGGCAGAATCTCTCACTGGCTTTCTCACATTTTCAGGAGAATGTAGCTAGTTCAATATTTAACTTTTAAACTTAAAACAAAAAAATAGAGCAGAATTATACACTGTACCAATAGACTAAAAAGAAAAGAATTATTCAGATAAAACAAACTACAACTATAATATAATATGCATATAATGACATCTTTTTAAAAAATTTCTTTTCTGGCATAATTCAATACAATGAAAGCAAGGGGTATATAGCAAGTTAGCTTAACATTATTTTTAAATCCACTTAATGCCTAGAGGGAATATCATCTAAGAGTAGAGATTTTACTGGAGAAGATGCCATTGAGACAAATTTCATAAAGGAGACAAGCTTTTACACTCCTGTTTGGTGGAAGTACTTTGGATTTCATACAAGTTGGATCAGGAATTATTGAAGAAATCTCAACTACTAAGGGTTTTGTCCTGGACAAAATGAGGAAGCTACCCCCTTCCTTCCCACACCCATAGTAGCTCAGCACCCGAGGTGTGCACTTACGTTGAAGGTCCCAGGTCAAAGCCACAGGCGGGCTCAGCACCATCAGCAGCACCATCAGAACTGCCATGTGGAAGCCTCCAGGGAGCCATGGGCACAGCATGCTGGAGATCAGAATGAACCCTCTCTACCCAGATCCCAAGTAATCACCAAGGTACTCATTGCTTTGATGCTGGATTGGCCAAGCTCAATGTGGACAAACCAATCAGCACTAGAGATGGAAAGCATCACCCGTTGCTGGGTAAAGGGTCAATATCAAGGTACTCTTCTGAAATGTGGCCATTTCTTTCTTTCAATAAGTTTTGTATTGAATATTTTAACTCTTTAACCCACACATATGTGAATAGTTTTCTTTGGGTCACTATCCTGGTCTGGTTGGGTGCTAGTCAGTGAGTGATATGTTCACAAGGTTGAGCCTTGTAGGGAGCTCATTCACTCACCTCTCATTTAAAGACAGATGTTTGTACAACCACTCCATCCTCAAGCTCCAAGAGCTTATGGACACCTTTGGCAAAGCAGCAGAGTACAAAATCAGTAGCTTTTCTGTATAGTAACAACACACAAGCAGAGAGGGAAATCAGTCAAACAATTCCATTTGAAATAGCCTCAGAATAAAATATCTAGGAATAAACCACCCAAGGAAGCAAAGACCTTTATAGAGAAAATGATTTAAAAAATATGAAGATATCGAAGATATCATCAGAAAATGAAGACACCTTGCGTCTTCGTGGATAGCTAGAATTAATATTGGCAGTATAGTCATTCTCCAACAAGATGTACAAATAGATCCCAGGGAATTTCTCTATTGAGATAGAGAAAACAATCCAAAAATTCATATGGAACAACCAAACTCCCCAAATAGCCATATTATTCTAGGCCAAAAAATCAAACAGTGATGCTGTGTGTCTCGGAGACCACTGACCTCCCTAAGCAAGGCTGAAGGCACCCGTGGCTACTGAGAAGTCACCATGCCAGGGATGCCTAAGTGGCAAGGGTCACTTGGGCAGAGGCTAAGTGACCACGCACAGGAGATCACTGGGCCTCGGCCGTATCCCTGTTCCCAAAACCAGGAAAAGAAGACAGCTGGTTGACTCAAGGATGTTAGCTTAAGAGCTTGTTTATCTCTCACTCACTTTTCTACCAGAATGGTCCCACTTCTTTCTGTTAGAGAAGACACTTACTTACCATCACTAGTTATATATCAAGTTGACTGCCTTTCCTTCTAGGTCCTGCTGGATAGTAAAATCCTCTTAGGAGATGAGTGAGGGGCTTTTGTCCTCTGAGAGAGTGCCTCCTGGCTTCCCTGCTTTGATTCCACCCATTCTCTTTCTGTCTTTCTTTCTCATGCTGGGCAGTCTCACTTCTAGGAACCTGATTACCTGGCTGCACTGGATGCCACAGATTCACCCCTGAACAGACATCACCAGCAGGAAAGGCCTGCTTCCAACAGAAAGACTACCAGTGAAGAATCATAAAACTGCAAAGTGCAGAAATACAGCCAGCAGAGGATACCTTGCTCTGGAAAGAGTCACAACCATGAGTGGGCAAGGAAGCGGTGAGAACACGTGGGTCACAAATGGGCAGAAGGACTCTCATGAACCTTAACATTCTATCCTCCTTGGTAAGTAGATGCAGACACTGTTCAGGGATTTCTGAAGCTTGATTAGAGACATCGTGAGAGGCTGAGCTTAACTATAATCCCTTGTCTGCATACAAGCATTATAGATCCTGAGTGCCGGGATGGGACTGTGAAGAGTTTAACAGAAACACAGCAGTCAGGAGCAATGTTCCCTGTTTCTGTGTTTTCTTTTTGGGGTCTAGTCAAACATGCCTTGACCTGATTCAGAAATCATAAGGAAAAACCTACACCTTCAGTGCCTCATAAAACAAACTCATTCCTTGAATTGAAGGACAGAAAAAAACAATTATGAAGGGAAAATAAAAAAAAATTTTTAAAGAGGAGAATATTTTAATAGTGTTAATTTCTCTTCAATCTAATTTGGCCTCAAATTAAATTGACATGTAAAAGTCTAAAATGCTATGGTGTAAAAATAGGTCACCCCTTAAAATGGGATAATGTTTTTAAAGAGGGATTTTAATAAACACTATTAAATTAATTAACTCCTCACAAATTCTAAGCCCTTCGTTAGTCAAAATAACCCTCTAGAAAATTCATAAAGGAATCTGGGAATGGAGCCTCCTTCAGGAATTCAGTCTGGACACCCTCCTCCACCCCATCCTCCCATTCCATTCTCTTTACCCACCACTAAGACTAAAGGCATCCAGGGAGTGTTCAGTGTCAAGCTGTGGACTGAAATGAAGCCTTGCCACGAAACTTGTTCTGGACGTATTGTATTCTTGGCTACCTAGGTGTGCTTATGAGAGGAGATTCTTTTCTTTTTGGGTTTGGTCCTGGGGCCTGAACTCTGTGCCTGGGCGCTGTCCCTCAGCTCTTCAGCTCAAGGCTAGCACTCTACCACTTGAGCCACAGCGCCACTTCTGGCTTTTTTCTTTTTGCTTATGTGGTACTGAGGAATCAAACCCAGGGCCTCGAGCATGCAAGGCAAGAGCTGTACCACTGAGCCACCTTCCTAGCCCAGGAGATTCTGTTGAGAAAAGTTTTCTATTTTTTCGTCATTGGTTTTTATACCACTGGTCACATGATTCTATCATACATTGGGCAAAAATATGTCATTGGCCATTAAAATCCCCAAAAACTTATGGTTAGCATTCTTTTCTTTTCTTTTCTTTTCTTTTCTTTTCTTTTCTTTTCTTTTCTTTTGTTGTTTACCTGGGGCTTGCACTCGGGGCCTGGGTATTGTCCCTGAGCTTCTTTTGCTCAAGGCTAGCACTCTACCACTTGAGCCATTCTGCTTATGTGGTACTGAGAAATCAAACCCAGGGCTTCATGCATGCTAAGCAAGCACTCTACCATTAAGCCATATTTCCAACCCCCCTTACAGTCATATTTAAACAGTCCTATGTGCATTTTAAAACTTTTTGTGGGGGCTGGGAAGGTGGCTCAGTGGTAGAGCGCTTGCCTTGCATGCATGAGGCCCTGGGTTCAATTCCTCAGCACCACATAAGAAAAAAGAAAAAAGCCGGAAGTGGCGCTGTACTCCAGTGGTAGAGGGCTAGCCTTGAGCTGAAGAGCTGAGGGACAGCGCCCAGGACAAGAGTTCAGGCCCCATGACCAGACCGCCCCCCAAAAACAAAACTTTTTGTGCACAAGTGTGCAAGTGTTCAAAAGAATTTGTATCTTAATACACAAAACCTTCATCACTGGAATCAGGAGTTATTTGGCTGAACAAACCAAAAGCAAAAGAAGGCAGCTTTAAACTCAGATTGCAAGGAGGTCTTAAGATTTTGGTCTTAAGGAAGGCATCCAATGATTATTACAAACATGAACACATTCAATAAATAAAGGAGAGTTTTAAACTTATTTTTCTTCATAAATACAAAATGTCTTTGTAAAGTATGCTAGTGGAGTTCAAAGATTTTGTAAAAGTTATTTCCAATCTAAGTTACAGGAAAAAAATCAGGAAGAAAAAAGGAAGTATAAAGAAAATGGGAAGTTAAACATTACTAAAGAATTGGAGAGCTAGGAAGGTGGCTCAGTAGTACAGCGTTTGTCTTAGATGCACGAGGCCCTGGGTGCGATTCCTTAGCACCACATTAGCAGGAAAAAAAAAGCCAGAACTGGTGCTGTGGCTCAAGTGGTAGAGCACTAGCCTTCAGCTGAAGAGCTCAGGAACAGCCCAAGCCCAGAGTTCAGGCCCAAGACCAGACCCCCCCGCCCAAAAAAAAAAAAAGAATTGGAAAGGAAATTAGGAAGCAAAAAGTGGTTTTCTTTAGAAAAGAAAGGATTTGAAGAGTGAGAATTGTCTTAAATGTTTGTTCCAAATTGGAAAAAGGAGATATTAAGACAAATCCAGACTGTTCACTAAAGTAGCAGATGGTGTGAGTATGTATTGAGTTTTATAAGATAAAGCTTGAAAACTGATCTGAAGAGTTTTCCAAAGGACAAAATCAATCCACTAATGTTAAACTAAATAGAAACTAGCCTAAAGTTCATTAAAGTATCTGTTTATGTCAAGGTTCTGTGAATGGTCACATTTTCACTGATTAAATAAAATTAAGATGCTAAGAATTATTGCTGTCTAATATATTCTTCTCCAGTCCAAAAGCCACCTTCGATACTAGACTAAAATGGACACCAAACAGGTTATTTCTAAATTAATAATACCACACTAAGCAGGCTTGTGTCTGTACATTCCTTATTATAATAAAAAAGGCTTAGTGACATCACACTACTGTATACAATAAAAATAACTACATTGTTCAATCAGTCACTGTTTCACACTTCTACCATGACTACTCTTAAGTCTTTCGTCCTTACAGATTTTACTCTCTGCAGCAGTTACAGCCAGGCCCACAGAATGATAAATAAATCAAGTATTTTTTGGTCAAGCAGAGCTCTTATTCCTAATAACTTCTAGGTAAACCTTGCCTAATAACTAGTTTTTACTGATCTCTTTGTTGCTTCAATTTAAAGTAAACGGGTCTTACTGGCACACTTTTTGTCGGTTGTGAGGCTTGAACTCTGGGCCTGGGCACTGTCCCTCATCTCTTCAGCTCAAGGCTAGTGACCTACCACTTGAGTCACAGCGCCACTTCCTGTTTCTGGTGGGCTATTGGAGATAAGAGTCTCAGAGACTTTTCTGCCCAGACTGGCTTTGAATCATGATCCTCAGATCTCAGCCTCCTGAGTAGCTAGGATACAGGCTTGAGACATGGGCATCAGACTCTCCTAAACTCCTTAAATAAAACTTTGTCACTTTGACTATTTTACTTGTAATAATCAAGGAGTCAGCCCTGTGGAATGACATTATGGTTCTTGTTCCTCTGGCACAGCTCCTGCAGTGTACTGAAAAGCACCTGAAGAAGGTAAATGGAGCTTGCCAGACCCATGAATAACTTGGGGTAGAGGATGGGCTTGTGTCTTAGCAGAATCTGCAGCAGCTCCTTTCTGGGAGGTGTGTCAAGCCTAGCCATGGACAGGGAAGATCAACATGCCTGAGACCTTTACAACATGACTCTGAGTCCAAATAGATAGCGAGCCCTACAGCCCTGGAGACAGCCCAACCAGCAAAGCAAACCCAGTCACTTTGGACAAGTGAAGAAGATACTTCACAAAGTAGAGAGACTTCACTGCATCAAGCTAATCTGCCTACCAGGCCATCAACCTGCTGGGAGCAACCTTTGCCAACCTTTCCCTTGCAGTACCAGGGGCTCAAGGAGAACAAGTATTGAGCCACAGTTCCTACCCCTCCCCTGCTGAGGGCTACTGGAGCCAAGTTATAGAAACAGCCCAGATGCCCAACAATAGAGGAATGGAAGGAAACAATGTGGTACCTGATGGGAACCTGCATTGCTCTCAGGACTCAATATTGCTCCCCTGGCTTGGCCCACTGACTCACCTCCCAACCTCCCACCCCAGGGGACCTTCCCACAATTCTCCAGCCCAGTCTCCAGCTCAGAATCTTAATGTAACTATGAAATCCCACTCCCCCACCCTTTCAGGTGGTAGGCACCTGAGAGATGGGGTAGGAGACTTTCTCAAACAATAGATTCCCAAAGCCAGACTTGCATTATATACTCATGAAACTCCTTGAACCCTCCAGCTACCTGTGACCCTGCCCCCCCCACGCCTCTCCACCCCTTACCCATTATGCCTCCTGACTCCTGCCTCTCCGCAGGTCACCATATTGTCCCTCTTCAACTTTCTATGAAAGTTGATCTGGTCTGTAAAGTTCACTTTCTGCTCTTTCCTTGTGCTCATATCCTCAGGACTCTGTTTCCTAACAGTACTTATACACAATGGATTTCACATAGACATTAGAAAGTAGTATGTGATCTGTAGGGAAAGGGATGGCACTAGAACATGTGAGGTGGGGTAAGCAAGCTCAGAGAACAAACAGCACATGTGTTCTCTCATATGCAGAGCTAGTTCTAAAACACACCAGAACATAACACATTCTATGTGTCTCACAATGAGACCAAAGGAGGTTGCTCTTAGGAGAGGAAAACAAATACACAATGCCTATGTACATCTGGTTTATACAAAATAATTTTTATTGAAATGAACTCCAGGGGATGGAAACAAGAGGTTTATTCTTTTTGCTCTTTGTTTTTTTCCCTTGGTGATGTTTGTTCATTTCTCTGCTTTTGTTCTGTAAATGGAGACACAGAGGTGGAGGGACAAAGGGTAAACAAATGCAGCAATGGTAGCCACTGGACTCTAGTTGAAAATGAACTTTGCAATCTGTGAGTGGGGATGGGACGGTAAAACGGAGAGAGAGAAATGTACTCTTTGCCTAACTGATGTAAATGTAACCCTTCTGTACATCATCTTTCTAATAACAATCTAAAATGTTTTAAAAATAAGACCTAAAGAAACATTAACAGCCTCCATGCCTCTCCAAACTTTCTCTCAGACATGTACATTGGATCATTACAAAGTGCTAATGTGTTACTATTTTGGATTACCAAAATGGAGTTGCATAAAATACATCCTCTACAGCTTGAATTCTTTCTTGTGGCTTCCACAGAGATTATGCAGAAGAAAAATCACAGTATAACAAGAATCAAAATGAAGCCAAGCACCACTGGCTCACACCTGTAATCCTAGCTACTCAGGAAGCTGAGATCGGAGGCTCGAGGTCCAAAGCCAGCCCTGACAGGAAAAATCTGTGAGACTCTTATCTCCAGTAAACCACTCAGAAAACCAGAAGTGATGCTGTGGCTCAAGTGGTAGAGCACTTGCCTTGAGCTGAAGAACTCAGGGACAGCGCCCAGGCCCAGTGTTCAAGCCTCATGACTGACCAAAAAAAAAAGATCATAATGGATTTGAAATATGCTGTATACTGTCCTAAGTTTTCTTAATATGTCTTAACTACTTCAAGGCTCCCAGGAACAGCTCATTGATTCTCCTTTTCCATAGGCCCATTCTAAGTATTAAGGGTTTCTACCTCAGCTGCAGAATGCTTTCCAGAGGAGCAAGCAGGAGCTCTAACCCTGCCCTCCATCAGAGCGCCTGCCCCACAGGGACACAGACTTCATACACATTGGAGCTATGGAGGAAAGAGAAGATGCTGGAAGACTTCTCTTGGCATGATCTCACATGGGACAGAGACAGCATCGCCACAGATTCTGTGGAGCATGGGACACAGAATCTGTAGGAGAGACAGACCTTTCTAACTCCCATTGAAAGCACGGCATGAACCAGGGTAGGGCAATGTGGGGAAATATTTGAACATCACTGCTTCTAAGTCCTGTCAGGCCTTCAGGGAAAGGAATGTCATGTAACATTGGACAGGTGTCACCGGAGGAGAGGTGGAAACACATAGTCTCCATGGAGGCATCATATGTAGAGCTCACAGAAAGGGAAAGCGTGGAGGTTCTCTTTGGTTTGGGAAGTTGCTGCATGGAAATTATTTGGGAGACATAGGATAACCATAGGTAGCCACCTGACAAAAAGCATCCCACATTTTAAAAGATGCTGCCTGGAAACAGTGGCCCCGTTACCACCCTTCCTCCCACAATGCCACCTGGTTGAGCCTCCTGTGTGCAGTGAGGTTGAGCGTTCCTGGCCACACCAGGGGAGGACTCCACACCGTCAGTGCTGTTCCAGCTAACATGCGTGCTCCACCAGGGAGGCAAGACACAGGCACATCGCACTGGAAAATGGGAGATGATGAGCAGATGATTTTCGTCCAGGGAGTGCTATGAACCTTCTCCATCCACACCAGAAATAATCAGAATCAAGGTATTCTTTGGTTTTGTGCTGGATTGAGTGATCTCAATGTGGAAAAAACAAATCTGCATGTGAGCAGTGGATGCCATCATCAGTTGCTGGGCAGAGTTTCTCTATGAAGGTTCTGAAATTCAGAACTTCCATTATTAAAAAGGATTGTTTCAATTTTTTATCTCTGAAGTCTGATCTAGTTACAAGTAGAACTCTTGGCTTGAACCAGTATGGAGATTCATCTCTGTGCTAACCAGTGTGAGGCATTCATATGTTCCATTCGCATGTTACTTGAGGAAAGAACCACGTGGAGAACTCTGTGTGTGGAGGTGTTGAGGAATGAAAGAAATGGAGAGAAAATGACTCCAAATCAGGAAAGTTTAATCTTACCTTGACTGGGTTTTGTAGAAGGGAATTATCAGGTAACTTCTCACAGTAGATTTTTTTAAATTTATACAGTTGATTATTATTAATGCATTTTATTCATGCTTATTTTTCTTTACTTTTTGAATTATTATCTTTAAATAGTTGTATAAGAGTTATTTCTTGGGGCTGGGAGGGTGGCTCAGTGGTAGAGCGCATGCCTTGCATACCAGAGGCCCTGGGTTCAATTCCTCAGCACCACATAAGCAAAAAGAAAAAGCCGAAAGTGGCGCTGTGGCTCAAGTGGTAGACACTAGCCTTGAGCTGAAGAGCTGAGGGACAGCGCCCAGGCCCAGAGTTCAGACCCCATGACCAGAGCCCCCCCCCAAAAAAAGAGTTATTTCTTATTTTTTATGGGAGAAACAATGCAACATGTCAGTTGTATGTACAATGCACCTTGACCAATGTCCCCCTTTCATTGTTCTACCCCATCTCTCCCAATCCTATCCACCCCTCAATTTACATGAGCCTATTTTCACATATGTACACTGGAGATTATGAGGGCATTCACTCACTTTCCTCTTCTTAATATTTAGGGATATGGCTGATAAACTAAAGGAAGTCCAGAGGCACCATTTAACAGACTAAGAGGCTTCTAGGTTTATCTGCTGCTTTCACTGCTGTCAGTGGCCCCTGAATGCATGTCAATAGACACCGGGCTGATGGGAGGCAATCCACGTGGCATGAAGCTCTGAAGAGAATCTGTGCACTTACCTTAGCAACAACGAAAGACCACCCTCCATACACACTGCACAGGGACTCAGCGACCATATAGGCTACTCAGAATCAGCCTTAGACACATGCCCCCCTTAAATTTATTGTAAGAAGGTTTCCATCCCTTTATCCTGCTTTCAGTTTTCATTCTCTTATTCCATTGAGGATAGATATATCCCTTCCTTATCCCATTTTGCCTCTCTATCCTAAGGAATTATCTGGTATGTGCTTGATTCCACCATGTCTACCTGAGTGCCACCATTTCACTGAACAGAAAAGACACCAGATAAAAACAGAAGCACAAGCTTAAACCTTAAAATAGCTCTCCATATTTTTTACTTTTTTAATATAATAGAAGATATACCACAAATGACCATTAACTATCCAGAGTAGAAATCAAAATTTAGAATAACAAATGTGTTATATGTATCATGTTGATCATTCACTTTAAAATAAAGGACAGGGTTCTTACACACACAGAAAACTATACTTATTCTTCTAAATTGAACTGCAGAAAAAGTGATCATCATATAGAGATCTACAGTTTCTGAAGTAGTGAAAATGATTGGATAGATATTGTAATAAAGAGGAAATTAAAAACATATCAAATCAGAATCTGTTTCTGGTTCAGAATAACTTTGATATGTCTGAATTTCTTTCTTCTCATAATATCAGAAAAATACATATAATACCATATTTTATTTCTTATGGGACAAACAAGAAACTGTAGGAAATTCCTGTGGGAAAAATTTTTTAGCTCCATGTTTATTTGAGGGAAACATAAAATGAAGTATTGTGACACAGGCCAGATTGGATTGAATGGGGGCAGGGAGGGTGGCAGAAGGTTTGAATGCAAAAGGGCCAAGAGAGAGTGCAGAGCAGACCTTGCAGTCTGCACTGGGCTTCCAGCTCAGGGACAGGGGCTGGGGGAGCCATCAGGGAGGACAGGATCTACTGGGCACTGAGCTAGGATGAAGCCAGGTCCAGAGAAAGCGTTACTGCTCTCTGAAGAATTAGAGCCAAGCTGGAGTGATGTCATGAGGAGAGGTAGGGGCAGAGGTCCTGCCTTCCCAGCTGTCCACCTTCACTTCAGCTCAGGAGTCCTGCAGGAGGCAGAGGAGAGTTAGTGTGCAGACCTAACTCAGAAAATGGCTGCTTTCCCACCATAAGTGCTTCTCATTATAGCATGTGGGAAGGAGGAGGGAAGACTTTCTACCGACCCTCAGCCAATGGTATTTTACAGCATAGCTGGGTTTTGTCTTTCACTGTTGGTTTGCTTGTACCACTTGTGAATCTGGAACTAAGGGCACGGTCTTTTGGCTTTATCTGCTCAACACTGCAATTATAAGACTTGAGCCACAGCTCCACTTCTGGCTTCTTGGTAGTAAATTGGACTTAAGCATCTCATGGGCTTTCCTGCTCTGACCAGGTTTGAATCAGGATCCTCAGTTCTCAGCCTCCTGAGTAGCTGGGATTACAGGCATGGGATTACAGCCAGCCATCTCTGGCTCTAGCACAGTTTTGATTAAACTCAGAGTGGAGATGGGGTGCAGTTCAGTGGTACAGATTTGTCTAACATGCACTAGGCCCTCAAGTGGAATGTCAGAAGCACAAGAACACAAAGGAAACAAATCTTAAAGAGAACAAGACTTAGTTTATATTTCTGCTTCATCAAAACTTTGATTGCAGATTTATGGCAGTACTTCTGCCTTGTGTCATTTGCTGTAGGATTAGAGAACGTTACCTGCTGGTTGAAGTCCAGAGTGTCCTGCAATGGAGACAAAAGGACAGACACTGAACTCTACAGAAGCCATTCCACCTGCAAACACAGCACCCACGACTCACACCTGCCCCCTGAGACTTCTCTAACACCACTGAGGCAGGAGAGATGGGGGACTGGCATAGAAGAGACAGGGAAAGTTTCTTCTTTTTAATAAATAGAAAAAGGGCCAGACTCAGAAGTTCAAACCAGTGAGCAACTCAAAAAGCAGTGAAACTTCCATCCACTCAAATGTTAAAGATAAGAGACCTGAAAGGGGCTGCCAAAGCCTTCTCTGTTAAAATGGTTTTGTAAAAAAGTAGTGAGGAAATAGCTCTGCAAATGCACATAGACAAGAGGAGAGGCTTGTCTGGAACAGAGGAAGTCCTAAAGCTCACCTAGGATTGTTCCCCTGTTTCAGGTAGGACCAGGGGCATCTGTCTATGTTAGAATAATAAGCAACATACATATGAGCCACTGAGATCCTCTGCTTGGGTGGAGGCTGCCAGATGACATGCCCACGCCTATTCTCTCAGCTCCCAATAAGGAAGACAGCAGGGAACTGCTGCCATTCTGAACCTTTAAGTGCCACTTCCTGCATATAGGGAACTGGAAATGTTTTCCTAGCTTTCTGTCTCTCTCTATTTTAACCTTGTTCTACTAAAATTAATCCTTGATAAACACTTTCAGCTCATGATTCTCTCTCCTTTCAGGAGACACCATGGCATGCTTTCAGTGAAGCTAAGGGACACCCTCATGCATTCTCTGGTGAGAGTTGCAGAATTTCCTGAGCATTTCAGGTCATGTGAGAACAGGAAACTTTCCACAGGTGCCTTGCTGTCCTCAGAACTAATCTCAGTGATACCACTTTTTTTTTCTTAAAAAAAAAAATCAGTGCACTGCGATTCTCAGCCACGAGAAGGTGGAAGGACCCAGGGTCAGCTTGCGATTAGGTCCCCTCCTGTATCCCTACCTGTTCACAAAAATCTGTTACGTTTGCATTTCCCCAGTGCTGTATTGCTTTCCCCCAGTTGCAACAAGCTCATTACTCCTCCTTCTTGGAATATGACTCTCCCCCCAATTCCTGTACCTCATCTAACACCTTCTCAAAATCTTCTTCTTGGAACTGATTCTACCCCCTGAATTCCCATGGTCCATGTAATGTGACCCATGTGAATGCCCTCTAAGTCTTGTTTAAATTCCACCCAACCTGTGCACTGCTGCTCCCTCCATTCCTGCTTGGAGAGCCCAGCAGGTCTGTCACCCAGGAAATCCTTGAGCCCATACTGGTGGCTCACCTCTCCTTTCTGACAGAAGGTTCCTTACCTTTTGAGTTCCTGTGGTAGATGAACAGCCCTGCACCCAGGAAGAGCAGCCCTAGCACAAAGCCCCCAACTCCACTCATCATCTTGCCCTGCGCAGATCCAGATTGGGGCTCTGAAAGGAGACACCAGGATTAGTTACACGTGTATGACATCAGAAATTCTCCCATGAGACCCCGAGAGTCAGACTCTTGAGCAGATCAAAGCCTGCCCCAGATGAATGAGATTTAGCCATTCGTGGAAACAAGAGAATTAAAAGTCACCCTGAGCCAGGTGCCAGTATCTCATGCCCATAATGCTAGACACTCAGGAGGCTGAGATCTGAGGATGGTGGTTAGAAGTTAACCTGGGCAGAAGAATGTCTGTGAGGCTTTATCTGCTATTGAGCACCCAAAAGCCAGAAATGGAGCTGTGGTTCAGATGGTAGAGTGAGTTTGAAGGAGTGGAGTGCTAGCCTTGAGAAAAGAAGATAAGAGAAAGCACCAAGGCCCTAAGTTCAAGCCCTAGTACTAGCATGATCACACACACATGCTCATCAACCTTAGTCACTGAAAGGTTCATACACTGGCTTCATGTAATTGTCACAGGGCTGAAGAGCCACCAGGTCTCTGAAAACTGTGGAACTCAGTCATGTTACAGAGCTGGTAAAGGATGACAGAGCTAATGGCAGACAGAGCTGAGACTGGATGAACCTCATGTCAGGAAGGACCCTGCATTGCTACTCTTCTCAGATCACAGTGAACAACCCAGACAGTAGCACCCACACATAAGCTCAGCCCTGAGGCTGAGGCTGGGCCAGGACTGAGGAGGTAACTAGGATCTGTGGTGTCACAGGGCTTTCAGAACAGTGTCTTGATTGACACACTCATGTCCCCATGGCTCATGGGTGTTTCTAGAAACATCTCAGCCCCATGCCCCCAGTGACCTATGCTGAGGGAGAGAGCATGGAATGGGTGAGAATCCAGTGTGGGGAGAGAATCCTGAAGCTGTGCTGTAGGGAGAGGAGCCCTGCACTCCGCAGGCAGCCAGGTCTGCATCTGGCCTGAGGCTTTATACAGTCACCAACATGCTCACTCACTCCACTCCACGGTGACAGGACCGTCCAGGCTGGGGTGCTCCACGTGGCAGGTGTAGACGTCCCCCTGTTGGGGGGTCATCTCCAGCATCACCATGATCTGGAAGGTCCAGTCTCCATTGTAGACCAGGCCTGTGGACACCACCCCAGCCTGCTCCTCCTGGCCATTGCGGAGCCATCTGACTTCAATGTTGCCTGGGTAGAATCCATGCACAGCGCACACCAGGAGGTTGTGGTGCTGCAGGGGTTCAGTCTTTGTGGGGTACACGGTCACCACAGGCTTAACTGGGGAAGAAAAGGCAGAATAAGTCAGAAAGCAGCAGAATCCTCATTGGTTTGCTGCCTTCCTGTGTTTGTCCAACATTCCCAGGTTTCAGTCCCGGCTGGTGATACAAGTTCTAACTGGTAGCACCATGGAAAAGCAGGCTACAGGACTTGCAGATGGTAGGATAAATGGATAAAACTTGCCTGACAATGAAATGCAGGCACAAAAGAATGAGGGACACGAAAACAACGAATGAAGAATTAAAGATGGGGCTCTTCATCCTTGGCTCCATGACCTTACAGCAACCAGAAAGGAGAGTCATAACCATGTGTCTGTCTCAACGGCTCCAATTCTCTGGATTAAGCCAAGGCCAGGCTCTGTGAGAAGGAAGGTGGTTGGATGGGCTTATGCTCTGTCTTCCTGTGGCATGTCCATGACACAGGCTCTCTTTCTCCCTTTCTCATTTCTCTACTGATAATTCTTCCCCTCACCTTCACCATGTGCACACCTTGCCTGTCTTCTCTGGCCCAGCATAAGAACTGAGGTCCCCTTAGCTGCCCTGAATTTCTGGTAATGTATTTGTGGTAGTAGTCAGGTAGTCAGAGATTAAATATGTCTTTTTCTCGTTTGGATTCACTGATAATTTCAAAATAATCAGTTGAAAGGAATTGAGGAAATCCCCTTTTTCTATCAGTGGTGGGGTGCTGTGCCACTGGCCTATTATCCCAGCTAGGAGACTGGGTGCAATGGCGGGAGGCTGTCATCCCGTGACAGGAGGAGACTCCTGCAGAAGTGAGGTGAGATGCAGACATAAGGAGCCCGGCGATAATGTTGTTTCAAATAACTCTCATGAGCAGAGTCAGACGTTAACTCCAGAGGAGGAAAAAGCAGTTCAACTTCCCGACCACTATACCTTCTGTTAGGTGCTGAGTTCAAGAGTGGAGACCTGAGACCTGCTATCTGAATCTGCCCTTCCTATGAAGGTGCAAAACCCTGCCAGCTCCATCAGTGGGTAGAGGTGGACAGTGGGAGGCAAATCTGGGAAAAAGAGGCCCTGCCTAAAGCTCAACGATTTCCCGAAGGTTTATATAGGCTCCAAACCTTCTTCATATTTTAGAACATGAGCAGCACTCGTCTTGGCCAGACTGAACCATGGTGCAATGCTCAGGAGTTGAGGAGCTCCACAACCACGTGCAACCCACCAGGAAGAATGAAGGCCACTGCCATCTTGATTCTTCACCACCCTTTCCTATGTGGGAACCACGAATTATAGATCTCTCATTTTCCATTTCTCTTTGCTTTGCCCTTCTTTTTAAAAAAATTTTCTTTGTTGAGATTAAGTGATTATATAAATTTCACAATATTGTGAAACAGTGATACTTAGGTAAAGTACCAAACACATTTTAACCTTTGTTTTGTTTTGTTGGTCATGGGGCTTGAACTCTGAGCTTGGTACTATCCCCCAGCTCTTCAGCTCAAGGCTAGTGCTCTACCACTTGAGCCACAGTGCCACTTCTGGTTTTCTCATGGTTTATTGGAGATAAGAATCTCACAGACTCCTTCCCAGGCTGGCTTTGAACCATGATCCTCAGATCTCAGCCTCCTGAGTAGCTAGCATTACAGGCGTGAACCACTGGCACCAAGCCACATTTTAACCTTCACAAGGCAAACTGTCATTATCATGGTTCATAACACTTGTGAAGTCTACACATTTTGATGATATAACTATTTCTCCCAAATCAGGAGACATGTACATTTCTTTCTTTTTGCTTAGTATGAGCCATTCCCTCTTTCTCATTCCCTCCCTCCCTTCACTGTCCTTGAGTTGCTTAGTTCACTTTCATCCATGTCCAGCGCAGCTGATGGCCTCTGCTCTATGTTACCCCCTGTTTCCCTCTGAGTCTGTGTCTGCTCCTGGCTTCCCTCAGATGTGCACATGTGTATTCCATATGTGGGGCCAAGAACATGGAGTCGTCTAAAAACAATGCAATAAATTAAGAAGAGCTCCTTTGTTGCTTGAGTACTGTTTACCTTGCCATATCTTGTCTCATTTTGAATTTAACGTCCACATATCAGGGAGACCATGTGCCTTTGTCTCTCTGAGCTGGGCTTACCTCACTCATCATGATTTGGTCTAGTTCCATCCGATTCCCTGCAAAGGCCATTGTTTTCTTTTTAATGGCTGCGTAATATTCCATTGTATATAGGTACCACAATTTATGGAAGCATTCATCTGTTGTGGGGCATCTGGGTTGTTTCTTATCTTGGGTATTGTGAACAGTTGCTTAGCCCTTGTTATATTAAGAACAGTCCTTGCTGAAACTTTGCCCTTGTGGACTGTTTTTGTGAAAGGCTCCTGAAGTGCCTTTCATGAGTGGATGTCAAGGACCTGTGGATTTTCCTGGGCAGGGGTGGGTTGGAGCCCTCACCTGTCATCTGATGACAGAAGGCCCACAGGCCAGCCTGGGCATAAAGTGGATCCTCACTGTAAATAATCAAGGAGGGGAGGTGGTGGAGACCTGGTTCCAATGGTGGAGCACCTACCTGACTTTCAGGCCGGAGGCCTGAGTTCCACCCTGAATTGTGCCAAAAAAAAAAAAACAAAGAAAGAAAGAAAAAGAAAAAAAAGGGGGGGGGAGTGAGGGGAAGGATGGAGGGGGAGGGGAGGACAAACTGTTAGGGGAGGGGGAAATGGGGAGGGAGGGAGGGGAGAGGGGGTGGGGGAGGGGGACAGAGGACAGGGAAGGGACAGCAGGGGGGAGGGAGGGAAATAGGAAGGGAGGGGGAGGGAGGGTAGGGAGGGGAGGGGAGAGGGGAGGAGCTGGAAGCAGGACACGGAGGGGGAGGGGGGAGCAGGGAGCCTGCAGCGGGGCCAGGTGGGAGGGAAGGGTGGAGGGGGAAGGGTGTGAGGGAGGGGAAGGGTAGGGGCAGGGGGGATGGGGAGCAGGGCAGGGTCGGAGGTGAGGGGGGGGAGGGAGGGAAGGAGGAGGACGGGGAGGGGGAGGAGGAGGGGAGGGGGAATGAGCAGGGGTGGGAGGGGAGGGAGGGGAGGGGAGGGGAGGGGGAGGGAGAGTAAGAAGCAGGGAGGGGGGAGGGGGAGGGCAGAGGGGCGGGAGGGCGTCTGGAAGTTATTCGTTTCCATCATCTTCTGCTCTGTGTTTGGGTTCAGATCTGAGCGTTTTCTCAGGCTGGCAGCAGACGCGGGCGGCGCACAGGCACGTGCGCACACACGCGCAGGCGCACGCGCACCCGCACGCACGCGCCCCGCGCCCCGCCCTCCCCGCACGCACGCGCCCCGCGCCCCGCCCTCCCCGCACGCACGCGCCCCGCGCCCCGCCCTCCCCGCACGCACGCGCCCCGCGCTCCCCGCACGCACGCGCCCCGCGCTCCCCGCACGCACGCGCCCCGCCCTCCCCGCACGCACGCGCCCCGCGCTCCGCGCTCCCCGCACGCACGCGCCCCGCGCTCCGCCCTCCCCGCACGCACGCGCCCCGCGCTCCGCCCTCCCCGCACGCACGCGCCCCGCGCCCCGCGCTCCCCGGGCCGGCCCCGCTCACCTCGGCGCTGCACGGTGAAGCCGTACCCGACCCCGTAGTTGTGTCGGCACACGGTGTCCACCTCCGCCCGCTTCTGCTCCAGGAGGTCCTGCTGGCTGTTCCAGTACTCGGCGTCCCGCCGCCCCAGCTCGGTCACCGCGCGGTACTCCCCGACCTCGCTGTCGAAGCGCACGTACTCCGCCCCGTTGTAGAAGCATCTCACCAGATAGCGCACCCGCTGCGTCCCGTTGAGGAAGTGACACTCGAATTTAGCTTGTTCCAGGAACCGCGCTGCGGGGACAGGAGCGGTTACTGCAGGGCCGCGTTGACCTCTGACCCCAGGACTCGGCTCTGAAGGGTCAGCTCCCTGCAGGACCCCGAGACGATTAGACACGAGACGGAGGGGACAGTGACCCTCCAGGACGAGGACGCCCAGAGCCGCCTGTGTGCGGAGGGGGTGCGGGGCGGGGCGGGGCGGGGCGGGTCCCGCACACTTCCGGAGTCAGGCACCTGACATCACCAAGTCCACCAAGAACAGAGCAGGCGGCAGACCCGGGAAATTTCCACCCATTCCCCACAAAACGTGGAACAGTCCTCCCCTCTCTACCTTCTATTCGGAATCTACAACCTCCCTTCCCCGCAGGGAGAGGATCAGAAGCGCGAGCTCTCCCTCCCAGGGTTCTTATTCTGGGCCCAAAGTAAAGCAGCCTTAGTTCTGTCATTCCAGCAAGGCCGAAGGTCTCCCTCTGCAGGGGGGGATGGAAGAGAAACAGGAGAGAGACAGCAAGAGGCACCTTTGGGAACAGAGTGGGGCCAGACTGGAAAGTCCTGAGGCCTCTGGAGAGGCCTGCTGTTTGCAGAGAGGCCTGGGGAGAGTGGAGAGGCCTGCAGAGAGGGAGGAAGGAAGGAAAAGGAAAGGCCTGCCCCAATGGAGGTTTGGAGGTCTGGAGGTTTGGAGGTTTGCTGACCGACTAATAGGAGGTTTGCAGACTGACTAATAGGAGGTTTGCTGACCGACTAATAGGAGGTTTGCTGACCGACTAATAGGTTTGCTGACCGACTAATAAATGTCGAGGCTGTTCTTTGGAGGTTTGCAGGTGAAGGCTGCTCTTGGCTCTGGGTAGCTAGCCCATGACAAGTTAGTCATAGATCCCTTTCTAGTGTAAATAAAATTCTTTTGTCACCTATAACCCTGCTTCTGAGGATTGTCTCACTCCCACGTCAGTACAGTTGGACCCCAGCAAGATAATCCATCCGGAGGGCAGCAGGCCTTGGCCCCCAGAAAACCCCTCACAGGTGAGCACCTCAGCCCTCAGGGGAGAGAGCCTCCCTCCAGCATCTGTTTCCCAAGGACCAACATAGACAGGAGTCATTAGGAAACTCTGCAGGGGTAAGTCTGGGTAGGCCTGCGTCTGGAGAGACGCACTGGAAGGCTGGACACAGCACTACTTCCCAAGTCCAAGGCCGGGATGAGGTGTTGCCCTCCACCTCCTGGGACTTCCTCAAGAGATCATCTGAGGCTTCCTCAAGAGGTCATCTGAGACCTTCTTGGGAGGTCATCTGGGTCATGTGGGACATGTGGATTGAGTGTGTGAGGCTACTTGTCTGTCTGTTTTTAGTAGTTCTATCTGTATCCTGTATATACCTCTATTTAATCCTTTTTCCAGGTTGGCAAAACAATGTGCTAAGGTTCTTGTAGGTGAAACTGTAACTGAAAAATCTTCTGCCCCAGTGTTACAGGCCCCAGAGGAAGACCCACTGGTGCACTCCCCCTCCTATTCTCTGCCATTAGCACCTCAGATGTGAAGTCCCCACCCCCACCCCATGCCAGAAGTGGTTCCTTGTACCAGCCTGAGGTAGTAAAGGTGGTGCAGTCCCCTTACCACCCCTGAGACAGGAGCATGGGGGAGACTGTGGGCAGGCCCTGTTTCTAGGGTATGTTCCCTTTACAACTAGTGGCCTGTATAACTGCAAACAACAAAACAGTGTTTGTCACACACCAGCCCACCTGGGACGATTGCCAGCAACTTTTACAGGTGCTGTTCACTTTGGAGGAAAGAGACAAATCTGGCTCAGTGCCTTGAAGGCAGTCCTTGGACCAGATGGTTTTCCCACTGATGACCCAGTGCGTTTGGAGCAAATCTTTACCCAGACTCACTCAAGCTGGGAGTCCAACATTGATTGAGGTAAGGAGGCGCTTACCAATTATTGCCAGGCTCTGTTGGCAGGGATACGGGCAGCAGCTAGGAAGCCAACTAATTCATCTAAGGTGAGTCAGACAATACAGCTCCCAGAGATTCCCTCACTGCTGTTCTAAATGTCTCTTGGCAGCTATAGGACTTGTATGCCTACAGGTCCTGAGGCCCCCGAGAAGCAGAGAGCCCTAAACATGGCCTTGGTTACCCAGTCAGCCCCAGATATTAGAAAAAACCTTGAAAGGTTAGACAGTTTTGAGGGAATGGTGTTATCTGAGGTGGTTGTGGTTGCCCAGCGGGTGTTTAATAACAGAGATAGAGTAGCAACACCAGGACAGGGATAAAGAAACCCTTGGCAATGGTATGACTTGTTTCTAAATGCCAGTAGGGAACCTCTAGGACTAGACTAGTGTGTTTATTACAAGGAAAACAGACATTGAAAAAGGATCGTCCAAAGATGGAAAATGACAGGTTAAGTTAGGGAGTTACCTGCCTGAAAACATTGTCCATGTCTCCTGAGAAACATGGAAAGGAGCTTGGGGCTCTGAAATCTAACCTTGATGAACTTAAAAATCTCTGGCCAGGCACTGGTGGCTCACGACTGTAACCCTAGTTACTCAGGAGGCTGAGATCTGAGGATCGCAGTTCAAAGCCAGCCTGGGAAGGAACATTCATCAGACTCTTACCTCTAAATACCAGAAAACCAGAGTTAGTGTCATGACTCCAGTGGAAGTGTCCTTGCCTTGAACTGAGGAGCCCGGGGACAGTGCCAGGCCCAGAGTTCAAGCCCCACAACCAAAAAAGAAATCAGCTCTCTGAACTGAACGAAAAATGTGGTGAGGACCAAGAAAAATTCACGCACTCCTGTCTGAAAACACTGGCTTAAAGAAGACTCTGCACCTCCAGTACATGCCAGTCAGAACCACAGAGAGGCTAAAAGCACATTCAACAGCATGCTGGAGAGAACCAAGAGAAAATTATTGGACATGAAGAAAAGATTTGAAGACATAATCCAGGAATTGTAAAAGCCAAAGATGAGAACCACATCCTCAAAAGGAACCTGGAAAACTCTGAGAATGAAATGAAAGCCAAGTACATCATCCTGGGTGAGCAGGAGCCCAAGCAGGGGGGCACGGGTCAGAGGCTGAAGGAGCCACAGGAACCAACGCTGCCGTCCTGGCTGATTACAAGCCAGGCCAGGAGGAGATCCTGATGCTGCATGTGGAGATCAAGACCTGGAAGAAGGAGCTGGACATGATAGAAGAATGTATTAGGCTGGGGTGCACGCCCATTATCAGCTTTTGAAGAGTGGAGGCAGGAATTCAACACAACAGAGAGAGAAATAAAAGAGCAGATAGTGGAGCAGACACAGAAGTGCCATGTCAGAAAAGCAGAGGCCAAGAAAAGTGAGCAGGCTTTCCCTCCATGAAGTCCACTTCCCACAATTCACCAGGTGAGGTTCCTCTCTTACACGCCCTCTCCACATGTTCCATCTTTGCAGCATTTACCTGTTAGCAACTTTCTACCCACATTACATAGGCTTGGCAGGCTAAGGCCACACTGGATTTCAAGACAGTTTTAGTCAGTGGCCTGGGGCAATTTACCAGGTGACAAATAACCAGATATAAGCAGACATGGAAAGCTTGAGCCTGGAACCACTTTTTGCAAGTACAGTCTCCACATTTGTATAGAAGAGGCCAAGAAAAGTGAGCAGGAAAACAACAGGCTCAAGAAGGAGATTGTCACTCACCAGAAAGAGTTAAAGGACACGAATCCTCTGATAGGGAATGCCCAAGAAATGGAAAGAGCAGTAGGCAGAAAAACAGAAGAGGAAACAAACTGTTGAAAGATCTGTCAACAAATACACTGGAGTGAAGAATGAGGAAGGGAAGCTATTAGAGGAAAAGGCCAAACAGACAGCCAAGATCCTCACCACACAAAGTCTAATTCAGAAGCAGCATGTCCCAATGGAGCAGGTGGAGGTGCTGAAAAAGTCTCTCAATGGCATTGTGGAGAGCTTAAAGGAGGAGCTGAAGAGCAAGCAAAGGAGCTGTGAGAATGAGCAGCAGGCTGGGAGCAGGCTGCAGCAGCAGTTGGACAATCAAAGCAACTCTCCTGTGGCCCTGGCAGAACACTTGCAGGTTAAGGAGGCCTTTGAGAAGGAGGTTGGATCATGAAAGCAAGCTGGAGAGAAAAGGAGGAAGAAGAAACCAAAATAAGACAGAAGAAGTCTCCAAGCTCCAGACTGAGGTTCAGAGTACTAAACAGGTGTTAAAGAAATTAGAGACCCCTGATGATCAGGGAAACAACTGAGCCTATCAGGTAACTTGTAAGGCTGCCCCAAAATCAGTGGGGCCTCATTAAGATGAAAGGAAGAAGCAAGAAAATCAGTGGTAATGTGTGCAAATATGGAGACTACACTTGTGAAAAGTGCTTACAGGCTCAAGCCTTCTATGTCTGCTTATATCTGGTAACTTACCCCAGGTACTGCCTAAAACTGTCTTGAAAACCAGTGGGGCCTCAGCCTGCCAAGCCTATGAAATGAATGTAGAAAGGTACCAACAGGTAAATGCTGGAGAGACAGAACATGTGGAGAGGGTGCATAAGAGAGGAACCTCAGGGTGACTTTTGGGAAGTGGACTTCATGGAGGTAAAGCCTGGAAAGTATGGGTTTTGGTATCTGCTAGTACTAGTAGACATTTTCCAGGCTGGGCTGAGGCATTCCCAACAAAAACCAAAACCACTCACATAACAGCTAAAACTTACTCCATGAAATAACTCCTCGATTCAGCTTACCCTTAGCAGTGGAGTTTGACAATGGGCCTGCCTTCATGACCCAAACCACTCAATTATTAGCTAAAGCCCTAGGAATAAATTTGAAGTTACATTGTATTTATAGACCTCAGAGTTCAGGACAGGTGGAAAGAATTAATTGGACCTTCAAGGAAACTTCAACTAAAGTAATTACAGAGACTGGCCATGACTGGGTAAACCTCCTCCCCTTTGCTCTCCTCCAAGCAAGATACACCTCTTACCCATCCCCTTCAATGTAATTTATGATAGACTGCCCCCTTCTGTTCCTAAACTGGGGGAAGC